GATATGTCTAGCAAATGTATTATTATGAATAAAAAAATAAAATTAATAATTACAGCTTTTACGCTCGATGCGTACGTTTTCCAGTTTACAATTTTCTAAGGTAAATTCTTCTATGCAATATAACACACCATCTAAATTACAGAACTTATAATCTAAACGGTTTTTGGTGAATTATCTGACCTGACTGGATTAGTAGAAAATGGTAGACAGCAAGTATGTCGCCATAGCAATATATAAAATAGATATATAAATACAATTTAAATTAATACATATCTTCTATAATTTTAAGTTAAGAGTGCCGTCTATAAAAATCACAAAATTAAAGCATAATACAAATATTTAGATTTTTAAAAGTCACCGATAGATATGTTTAGTTATTTCTTTTTATTCCTATTTACTTACTCCTACTTGTTCAACTGCACGTTTATAGTAATATTGCTTGAACGATGTTATAAATGTTGTAAAACAAATCAAGCAGAGAAGATCAGATATTGATCAAGGCAGGAAAACAGTTTCTAAAAATCGCACTGGATTTTTAAACAGTTCGATGCGAAGCCAAAGTAAAGCTGACGACTGTCGTGTAAACCGGTTACGGAAAAGAGGCTGCGCCGCTAACACGTGTGTACATACATTATATCCTGATTCCATCTGAATGCTGCAATGGCGTTAATAGGTCAATCAATTGCCTTCTATCCGCTTCTTGTTTGTTATCCTGTGCCGTGTTTTGCTGGCTATTATATAACACTCAATTTATAACATTACATATTTCTTTATACTTTTCCTTGTTCTTGGAATAATTTAGAATCGCGATTTTATAGTACGTGGAGAACATCATTTTTCTTTACATTTTTTAATACTCGACATCTTCGCAGCTGATGATGTTTAAATTGAAGTTTTAAATTAAAATTAAACTAAAATTAATGTTTTATTATCTCAAATTGCATTTCTGAATCTGAATTTATGCAAAATTCCAAATTTTCAATTAAGTTTAGAACAGGACGAATTATTGGGATTTTGATATTTTTTTTGTTAAGAAAGGAATCCACGATATATTAAGGTCACACGGATTGTATGGGATTTGATTTCAGATTCTCCTAGCAAGATAACATTTTCTCAAAAAACAAATTAGTACGCCCAATTTTACTTAATTTCCGCTTTATGAAGAGATAATTTATGAATTATAACGTTACCTGTGATTATCTACGATAAAAAACTGAGCGGCCGTTGCGGGTGGGTGCACCAGAAAATGTAGTGTTTCCACCGGCCGCGAGGAATGTCGCAATTACGCATGGAACAGAATGTCGCGGAGAAGACCCTTCGCTGGATCTTAAAATGACTAACGGAAGGACATTGTTATCACGGTCATTGCCGCATGTGCCGTCGTTTGCTCCCTTTCTGCAAATTCGATATAGAAACTTCCCGCTTGGTAATCACATAATATAGAACGAAAATGTAGTGTTTAATATAATGTTTAATATAGTGCGGTCCACCACTGTTTCTGTATAGCTAAGCCTGAAGCCTTCGTGAAATATCTTTCTGATTGTCTGGTAGGCTATTAGGCTGACAACTTACAAGTCGTGCAGCTGCGATATACCGTTAAAATTATATTCTTGTTTAGTAAAAAATAAGGACTTATTCTTTTCAGGATAATCTTCTTCTTTTGATTCTAATGGATCGATTGGACAAAATGATTAAATGGAGGTTTTTAAGACAGTTTGATTTTTTTAATGTACAAATTATATTTATTATATAAATACTTTTTTAATTTTCCGCAAATATATAAAAAAGCATGAAAATGATTAGCGAAGAATATTAATGAATCTACCACAAAGTATATATTCGCGAAGCTATCAGATGATCTTTCTGGCACTCTTTCCTCAGTTTAAAAATATCCCGTTTAATGTATCACGAATTTTATGGTGCGATGAGTTTGTCCCATTGTCATTAGAATTTCCATGACCAGCCAGTAACCGTCAGCGAGTTCTCGAGTGTCTCTCGAGACGTCGTATCGTATAGAATGCAGCAGCAATCTCTGCACAGCATTATCTAAGCCATGGACCGTTACCCCCACCGACCTAAATGCACGCCGTATAAATGGTCCGAACACCTTCTAACCACTGTCAGTGAGCGTGTGCACCTAATCTCGTCTTTCTGCAACGTGCATCATCTTGCATCATTCTGTGAAAAGAGTGCGTAATCATTCGTATCTTATAACATCACTTCTGATTTCCTTTGATTAATTATTGAATTACTCTCTCGAAATTCTCTCTCGATGCGGTGCATTTCGATGATTCGTATAGTCGATGCAATTTTCACGGTTAACAATGACTATACAAGAATTCGAAGCGAGACAGGTGATCGTCACTACTGTTTGCAATGAAATATAAACCGGTTGATCAAAACTAACAAAAATCCAAATTAATAGTGCAAAGTTAAAATCATTAACCTAAATCATGAAGTGCGGATACTTCGGAGTTATCGAGTGGTTTTGCAAAATTGGGTGTCCAAGAGAGACTCATATGTCGTGCTGGATGTTTATCTTGTTGATTATTTGTTCTCGACGGACTTATACGTTAACTTTTGATAATACAACGGATCTTTTTGTTCAAAAATGTCAAACAGAATGTAATTTAAAGAAAGATACTACAAGTTGTGGAAAATATAAAGTCGTAAAGTGGTTAAACACAATAGTGAGAGAAAAGGTACGTGTTTGCTGTTTATGATCTTATGTAACATTTGATTATATTAAAAACAATTAGGAATTAATAATTTACATTGTATAATGCTAACTGCAATGAATGAGATTAAATAAATTTACTAATTTATGTGTTTTTATTTTTATAATAAATTATTGAAATATTCAATTTTTAATATATATTACTTATATAAGTTTGTTTTTATTTGCATTTAAATGTATTATATTTATTAATAGAATTATGATAAAAGCTAAAGAATTAATTAGATATGAATAAAATACTATACATAAAATTGATAAAATATATTACACCAATAATATCTGTAAATATGTAATTCTATAATTAAAATTTTCTAATTTTTAAGAGATAATTATATATATATATTGTTTAATTACTTTATTAAAGCAAATTATTATAATTTAGGAATTTAGTTATGGGCCATTTCAAATAATAAGGATACCATCGATTTACAAGCAATCCTTTTTGCCCTATTTGCCACGTTCTCGAGCATTTAAAAGCGGCATAACGGAAGCTCTGAACTTCGTTAGAGATAGTGTAGAAGATTTATTGACAAAACGTGCCATTGTATATACGGTACACAACTCGGCAGTTACCAGAGACTTCTCCTCGAATCTGATGTTTGTGGATGAGGATGAACTTGAGCGGCTGAAAGATAGCAAAGAACAGGAAGGTAAAATCTTGTAATAGATCTGCCGAATAATAAAATATTTGACAATGTTTTCTCTTACATTGTTTTTTTACAATTTTATTCCTTATTATTTTGGTTAAATGTTCTTGCGTTAATTTGCGTTAAATATAATAAACTGATGGATATCAGAGAATATTTTTTTCTTGAAAAATTCTTGAAGTTCTTGTAATGATATATTGATTTCTTAGCAATAACAAAGAAAAGGTATACTTACTGTTCTATATAATAACGGAACTCGAATTCTTCGAATTGTGCTGCACTCAAATTCTGATGTGTCTGAGCGAAATTATAGCTTCTATTGCCCTTTATTTCGGGTAACGGTGAACGTTACACGTAACAAGTATTATCACTGCAAGAGCTATGCAATCTACGATATTGTTCCATATATTTGAAAAAAGCGATGAACGCGAAATGACAGAGTTTACTACCTTGTATTTCTTGTAACGGCAACGGATGTCAACAATCGTATAATTTGTAATAATATTTGGCGATTTTTGAGAAAGAGAAAATTAATAAATTATTCGCTTTACAGGCGATTGGCGAATTTTCAAAAAGAAGAAGTCTATAATTGTCCCGATTCTTATATTACTAAATGTAATAAAAATAAAGCTACTACTATTACCAATTTTCTTAGGAGTACATTTTATCAAAAAGCTTCTCGTACTTGGATCATTAATTTTACCATCAATATTGGCACATTTAAAGATTTGCAAAGTGCAACATTCTCATCATGCACATCATTCGCATCCTTTCCATTTGTGGTCCACTGCAGCAGACACAGCAGCAGATTATCCAACTGGTAAGATTATTTAAGAAATATTTTTTTCTCTTTGACGATTGAAAATACCGTGCTATTACAAGCAAGTTATATACTAAATTATAATATGTAGATAGGTATATATTTATTATTTTCCATAAAATCTTACGGAGAGAATGTGAATGCAAAGAATAACAAAATTTTAAAATTATAATTTTATTATTTATTACAGATATTTATGTCTAAAAAATGTGTTACTTTGTTTTGCAATAAAAATTTGTCATGCGTTTAATTTTATGTCGTTGAATCATATATGCTAATATATGAAATAAATTTTCTTCTAAAATCTCTTTAAACATAAGTAACTAGCACATGGCAGTTTGCATAATTATATATTATGTAGGCTAAGTTAAGATAGAGTCGTTCAACTGTAACAGATGATACATCTTTGCAAACTAATATACACATGTCGTATTTATGCCGGCGTAAATATATTTAATGTTAGCCAACAGCGACAAGTATTAGATTTGAAACAGCTGTCAATGTACATTCTGATAGTGTTTTGTGTTTGACATATTTACATTCAATATTTCCTTTAAAATCTCTTATGTCATGTTGCGTGTCACGAATATTTGATGTCAATAATCTTGAATCTTTTCCCATACAAAATTTGCACATCTAAATAAGGATCTTTATACCTATTTGCTAAGAACATATCGTAAACTTGTAATACGCATTTTAACATTTTCTTTGCAGGACAAGATGACGGTAATTGGCACAGAAACGATTACCAGTTGGGATATCCGAGTTATCAGATACTTCGCAATCCTTACGGGTGAAAACTTGGCAGATTAGTATCGCGATCATCGACGAGAGTTTGTTATTTTTCGAAGACGAAGCTATAGATGCGAGTCAACGATATTGAGGCACGCGAGCGAAATAACACTTTGACAAGTAGTACAATTACGATTAATCTAATTGTGATCCGTGTAATCTCAGTAATCGCGTAATTTCCTGTAAAATTGCTCGTGGCAATTATGGTGTATTGATACGCGCTGAATGAACGTCGCCAAACACTACGCTTATCTCGGCCCGTTCTAGCAAAGAACACTCACGAAATAACTTTCACATAGCTTACCGTTATTTGAGGAATGTGTCGATATATTTTAACCTTTGCAGCTTGCGGGCTTTGAGAAAGGGCACGGTGTTAATGATACATCCGGCTTTTTCTTAAAACTCGCATTAAACAAACTGGAATGCGTGAAAGAGCTTAAAATACCTGTCTCTTTTAATTTTTTAGAATATTAATTTATAGAATTTTCTATCTTCTATCTCGTTTTATATTATTTATTGCTAATTTTGCATGAGGATATGATATCGGAGATATGTTCGTTGCCAGTTAGCTCTGCAGATTTATTACATAAATGAGAAAAGATAGCCGACAAGCTATCCCTTATAACTCGACATTATTAGTAAAAGACATTTTAACTGCTGTAAAAAATTGCAATTTTTTTAGAGGATTACTTATACATGACTTACATCTGAATATAACTCAAAATGTCAAAAAAGTGTAGTTACATTATTTTTAATGGGGTGTTATCAAATTATAAATATTTATTCCAAAGCAATTGAATTACAGCATGTCAAGTATAAAATTCGTTCAGGTAATTCAAGTCCAATAATTTTCGCTTGTTTTCTAAATGTGACAATAATATATGATTAAGTACACTATATTGATACGATATAGTGCAAAGTGTCTATTGATTTTAGATAGAACATTTGGCGTACTTGTGCTGTGTTTCTTACAGGCTATCTTTTCTCAAATTTTTAAGTGAAAATCGGAAAGATTACTATACCAGGGCAGAGGAGGATCATTCGTGGTCAAGGTCACTCGACCGAGTACGATGGCCCCTCTACTGACCTACTGACAGATTTGGACAAGCGCCCGGTTTGTGGCTCAAATGCGTTCACAAGCCAACTCATGTGTCGCTGTTATGCGTCCGTGCGTCTACCTTGACCGATATGTCCGTGTGTATACACACATATGACCCATGCACGAGCCGATCGAAGACCGTTATCGGCTCGCGGACAGTGCACGGCGCGGCGAGAGGCCAGTCATCGTACTTGTCGTCGACACATATTTTAGGCCCCAGATGACGGTTATAACTGGTGAATTTTGCTCTCACCCTTTCCCTTCTTCGATACGCTTTTTCTCGACCCGCCACGTGTTCATCGATAGGATTAATCTTAGTTCCCGGCGTGTATTCTTCATCGGACTTTCTAACGTGCGTCTTTGAAACCGCTACTTTGACTTAACTACCTTGACTAACCTTTTTATTTCATAAAGAATTAATTTTCCGTACTGTTACAATTTTTAGTATTTTTTATTGCAAGATATTTGTTTATCATAAGAAATATATTATAGAGAGAATAATAAAAAGACATACGAGAGTCTGATGGCAAGCGATAAAGTGACAACGATACTTGGGCACTACGGCACGATAGGAAATGTGAATCGGAAGCGACACATCGCGCATTGCTACAGGATAGGCAATCGATACACAGCGTGCACTCGTCCGCGGCAACTCGACCGTTACGTTCTTACGTTATACGCGAACGAAAAAGTCGCATTAATGTAACGGACCATCGTCCATGTCACGGCGTTCGACTTGCGTATCCGTATCTACGTCGAACGTATTTCCTGCACATTGTACGATTCATATGTGCTTGATTCATGCGCGCGTATGACGTAGACAATTCTGAGCGGTGTATGTTAAATACCGGAGGTGCTTCTCAGGAAGCCAGGTGCCACAAATAAAGTTCGCGGAAAGCAAAGCCGCACGAACAATTGTGAAGGTCTAACTTAATAAAATTTAATAAAGCAGTTTTTTTTCTCAATGATGAAATTAAAATTGTTGTTGCGGAAGCCAATCTTTATATATGATGAACGATTGACCTCTGATAAAAGATATCTAGATAAAATTTTAATTTTGTGGATGTCACATAAAAAATAAGAAATACTATGTTGTCAGATTTTAATACCGCTTGTGACTATCATACTAAGTATTTGAACAGTTTTCAATAAATAAGAATAAATGGGAGAAAATTCTATTTTCAGATGTCGATTATTGGTATTTTAATTTTTTATTCTTCGAAATTTCTCGACGTTTATTGAAAACGAGTTGCGTGTTTAATATATATGTGTGCGTGCGTGTGCGTATGGCTATAGTTATATAAGAAAAATAAAATAGTAGCATAATTAAATATAGTTAATGTGTCCTTTCCTCTCCTCAGTTGAAATGCACATTACAATATTCTAAAGAATTTTGCTTTGACGCTTTGTTAACAGACCAATTGATAGAAGATTGTAACATTACATTACATTTGTTACGTATTTCACATGTTAATATAAAAATATTTGTAAAAATGTAAGTTTTTGTCATTATTTCCATGCGTTTGAAGATAAATCACCTTGTTCGCTTTTTCTCGGTTAATTTCAATACATGATAAACCGGACATGAATACCAATACTTGCAATACACGGAAAGAATTTCTCTTTTTCTCTCTATGAATAGTATAATAAAAATAAAAATATGGAGAATGTTATGCGACTTACGTTTTTAAGAAACGGTCAAACGATTCCATAGGTGTGTCACTGACTTGAATGTGAAACTTAAACCAAAAGAAGTGACATACTGGTATGACCCTCTTTTTAAAGAAGAACACATTTTTGCGTAAGAAAATTGGGTCAAAAAATTTTCAATCTTGAATTATAAGTATACTGCAAAATCCCAGTAAAAAAGCATATATTTCTATGAAATTATATTATGAATTTTCCAAGACGAAAGAAATTTGCCCATTTTACGATCAATTACTTCTTTGCAACTCAAAATATTCACATAAAAGCTGTATTTAAATTTTAAAGAACGGTCTGTCACTGGCATTGTCTCACATATGCCAATTCCTATAAAAAAAATTGAAATACTGTTTTATTTCATGTACCGTTTTCTACGGTCTCTTCGTGATTTACGATGCAAAGTTTGTTGGCTATAAAGTCCTGAAAAATTCGTTTTTGTTTGATATAATATCGATAATATTTTACGTTCTCGTAAAGATTCTTTTCACGTTATGTTATAACGGGTTCTTTCTAACCCATTAGTAAATAGCACTTTGAAACATGGGGCATGTATACCGTGATGTCAAATGTGAATGGTAATCATTTTGTAGTAATCGAGTCATCTGTCAGTTCTATTAAGACGAAAGAAAGGCTGGCCGACATGTCGAAACCTGAAAACAGGTAAACCAGTTTTTCGGAGGTCACAGATATTATTCGGGATCGGTAGACTTCCGAGAAAACATAAGAGAAATCGCTCGTAAAGGTGTGCAATTGTGCTTGAACTCGTGACTAATTCGATTAGACTTGAACGAGTGATCTTTGCTGACGTCATAACCGAAGATAGTTTCCATATGAAAAGTAGATCATGCAAAAAAGATTTAGTAAAAATCGCTGCTTCTTACACTTGACGATTAAATGAATATGAAAGAGTAATCTTGCTTAATCAATCTATATTTAATTTCCTTGCTGTCATAAAAGACCGTACTTGCTACAAGACTTGCTTGTAGAAACCTTCAGGGTGCATCGTATCCTTCTTCTGATAAGTTTTATTTAGGATGTGGACAGATTCATTAACAATTTCTAATTATCCAGGAAAAAGTTTTAATTTTTTTTTGTATTGTGCATTTATCCTATATTTCTTTTAAATAATAGGAAGGACTAATTCTAGAGCCAGAAGAGGGGGAGAGGAGAGGGGGGAGAGGAGGGAGAGAGGAGAGAGAGGTATTCTAAAAAAAAAATAGACTAAACCAATTGGGAGTTCTCAGAGATTAACTTAAGATTTATCTTGATCATTCCCTTATATATAATTTACCTCCACTCTCTTGTTCTCTTTTTTTTCTCTCCCCCTTCTCTTCGATTAAATTAAGATCTATTCATGAACGATCTCTTAGAAAATCATCTTCTGTGTCATTGGGCGGCGTCCGGTCAGGCTCATTGAACTCACTGATCTGGACACTCGCCGAAATACCGCCAAGTGAAATCGTCCGTGTGAAGTGTGTGTTTTCAGTAATTATAGACCTATGATGAATTCGATTGATTTGAATGGAGCAATTTCCCCCTCGACTAACATATTTGATGATTCTTCCTTAGGAGAAGGGTAGATCCTAAATCAAATGGCGGGAACGAACGGACGAATGAACGAACGTGGTGAGCGAGGAAGGCGGAAAGGAATGGATAGAGGGACGGACAGACGGATGGCCGGGTAACCCAGATCGGGTCAGTCGAGCCGATCCTACGGAGACCGGCTGCCAGTATGGTATCGGACGTCGTACACGATTCCGACTTTCTGGCCGCTTGATTTTTTAGGCGCGTACTGTTTCCCGACCGTTTTTCAATATTAAAAGAAGTCATCTACTTGCTGAGATTGACGCCAATCGTTTGGTCTAGATGTGAGCAAGTTGCTGATGTCAGAGATATACCGTGAAAGTGAGTATAGATCTATTTGCGACAAGAAGTACCGACTAATAGTCTTCTATAGATCTTTGTGACGTGTTTGATCAGTGAATGAAATTATCTTCAGCATGCACACGTGGACAAATGTAGAGATGGAGCATCTCATTGTTAATGAGATTGTATTAGAATAGATTGGTGAAAGAACACTTATATAACCGTAACATTTTATATACCGGTTATTAATTCTAACTGCACACGTGCGCATAGTTGGATCTTCAAAGACTAAATGATGACTTAGATTAATGTATGCACATACAACATACTCTTTGAGTTTTTTTCATTTTTATATTTTATTGCATTATGTATATATACACATATAACTTGTTGACAAAGTGAAACGTTATAAGATAAAGATTTTTTAAATTGATTTAATCTTTCTCTTTATTTAATTTTATTAAAAAATATGTATTAACAAGTAATTAAGATAATACAGAATTTAATTAATTTTAACATAACGGTATATGTTCAATATTTAAGGTTAATAAAAAATAAATTTTTGATAATTAATTATTGATTGCCTTAAAAGAAAAATTTAATTAAAATATAAGTTTTGAAAAAATAAAAATAACAAATAGTTATACAGATGTCGACAAGATTATTAGAAATAGAATTTATTTAGTTAATTTATCACAAATATTTAGTAGGATTTTTGCGTCAACAATCCACATGGATGAAAGAATCAGCTGACTGCTTGAAAAAGGAAAGACATGCAAGACTGATCTAGCATAACTGAGCTTTACCACATGGAATACTATATTATTACTAGCTTACTTAATAATTTGAGTAATAATGAGTAATAATATTTTTTCATATAGTACTGTTACGTATTTTCTTTATGAATCGATAGTTTAAAGAACTTGAAAATATAAATTGATAGAATGGTAATTCTTTCAAAATGATAAAATCACAATTGCTTTCAAGAAGAAGCAATATAAAATTATTTTATATATGTCTATGAGAGTTTAGTTTTTAGAATTTACGTCTTGTAATTCTCTGGTTTTCTTTATCGATCAATTACAGATTTAGCGTTACATTTTTACACTTAGGTATATTGTAAAATTATTTTATTTTACATATTCGATTTAAAAATCCCTAAATTCTTATGTGTTTTAATTTGTGTGTCTCATTTCAGGGAACGAAGCCGCTGGTCGAGATGCAGTTCCTCTTTCGTAATAACCATAGCTAGCCAATAAACAAGCGCTCGGTGCCTTTTGATGGGTCGGACAATGGCAAAAGGGAGAGCAGCCGCGATATTCTCAATTGTGCTTCTGTCTATCGCGCGCCTTCATTCTGTCGTGGGGGTCAAGATCCACGCGGAGGTTGCGTCCTTGAACGAGACCGCGCGCCACGATTATGACATCGAGAAGAACGAGGTGCCACTTTCTCATAAATCTGAAAACAAAACCGACGAATTCCTACGTGATCATCCGCACAATATGCATGGAAAACCAACAAAGTTTGATATCGAGCTTCACGTGGACGATAAAGCGGATTATCAGATCGAACCGACGAGGATGGCCAATGTCACAGCTAATCCAATTGAAATGAATTCAACGATCAGTCAGTCTCTGTCAAATTTGACAGAATGTAGAGGGAAGTTGACAGTCTCTTGTATACGGAAGGACTTCTTGAAATTTTTAGATCAACTCTCAAGGGTTGACACGTACAATGTAACAGAATCCGTGCAAATAATAAGAAAACCTGAACCAAACGTCGCGTGCAACGATCGAGAAAAAAATGATGATTCGAATTTGGATCTTTTGGACAAGGTTCATCGTTACGCCAGGACACATATGATGAAGATACGGTTGAATAAGGACCTGAGTCTCGCCAGGAAAGCCAGGACGTTCTTCGGTTGTGAGTTTCTAAACCGCTTGCTAGACAGATTTTTCTCGCGTGTGTACTAGTGCCGTTACTTTTGTTGACACGAAAGGTGGAGATTTTCTGAAAACTACGATACAATCATACATTGAGCGACATAGCATCGATATAGTATGATGCTTATCGTAAAGCAATTGCATAATCGCTAATTGTGCGGAGTGAGAGTAATCGAGTAGTTCACTAGCAAGGAAAATAGTTCTTATAGAATAAAATGATGCAATCTTTTCTATTTCCACCTTTCAACTTGATTTTCAAAATAATTTTATAATATTTTTTATGAAATGTAGTCTTTTCAAATATTTTTTTTGAAAATTATTTATCTCTTTTTAAGAATAAACTATTCAATTAATTTTTTTACTTGAAAAGCAACAAATCTAGTACACTCGTAAGCACGAACTGGCATAAATAAAATTAGAGGTGTGAGAGAAAGCTTAACTTCATGAATTGGCTTTTTGGAGTTAAATCAAGTAACGAGGTTGGGTCTATGCTAATTGGCAAAAATGTGAACTAAACCAGCAATAAAACGGGTATGAGGAAAGACGAGGCGTGTAACATTATGCAAACAGTCAAATTAACTATAATTACGGTGAATATTTTTTATTTATACGTGGAGTGTTTCAGCAAAACGCGGGCGCGTGGCACGTGGAGTTGGAGAGCTAGAATATGAAAAAGATGCTGCTTGCAGCATGGCTTTCAGGGCTAACCGCAGGGCTTTAACGAGCTGGTACTTTTGCTTTCAGCCGTCTTTCAGGGAAAGAGTACCTTTTTAACAGGATTCGGACTTGGTTTTCTAGCATTTGGTCTGAAGAAACTGTTGCTACCCTTGTTCTTCGGCGTACAAATAATTAAGAGCGTGTTACTCGCTCTCTTCCTACCAAGTATCATCGGCAGCATTGGTAATATCGTTGGAAAAGGTATGTGTGCTTTGCGTTTAGTGAATCTTACTAGAAAATAGAAATATTTCGAAACAATTTGTATTGATTAATAATCATGATCATATTTATTTCTTTATAAAAAAAGTATGCCATAAATACTTGTAGTAAACGGTAAGTGTCTAACTTAAATAACATCAATATTTATGACAGTATTTAATATTAATAAGTTTTAGCAATTTTAGTAGCTTCAGAGATATAACTTTAATATAAATTAATTACTTTCAATTAATTTTTAATAGATTTTGTTTACGTAAAATCTCTTAAAATTTGAAAAATTGGACAAGTTAATGTTAAAAATTGGAGAATAGCGTACAATGTGGAAATCAGATCTTTGTTGAAAAAATGGCTTCTCCGTCTCTTGCATTCTTAATTAGGAAAGCATCCTGAACTAAAAGTGTAAATACATATTACGCGCAAATTACAGGTGTTTCCTCCTTTGCGCAATCTTCGCATGCCGCGCCCATGGCGGCACCGGAAGAAAATTTCGAGTTCAAGGATAATACTGATCTTTACAACGATGACTATCTGACGCGACAACCGGTAGGCACGTTACCAGCATCCGCCATGTACGACGAGAGTATGATGCAGACGCAGAAAACTCCGGATATTGCGTCGCGCTATGGATTCGTTGATTCGAGAATATCTCATGCGAATGCGCTTTCGGATCGTTACTACACGCGACACGTGGCTGCACACGGACTTTCTAAGAAACAGGATTTTAAGGTGAGCTTTTCGAATGCGCAATTACTTGCAGATCTCGTATATTATCTCGTCACAGAATAAACGCATGGTTTTCAAGCGGCTGCACCACTTTCTTTTTTTCTTGAACTCGGATAATGTGCAATCCATATATTTAACGAGGAAGTTTAAATGAAGCTATAAATTACCTTTCCTTATTAATATTTAATGGATCCTTGATTGCGTAATAGTAATAATTCTTACCGAATGATTTCAACTGATGGGAAATGCACGTTGATTTGTACATATTGCTGTCGCATTAACAGTCGCGCGCAGTTCAAAACAAGTGTTTGTTAATGTTTGATCCAATAATGAACTGGGTAAGTATGCCATAAGAATATTCGTCTTTTTTTCCTACTTTGACACTTTTTCACACCATCGACGAACGGAGATGGACATGCTTTCCACTTTTGATACTATTCGGATATTGACATTGATCATTGAGATTCGCGCGACCCACTTCCTTGTTTGCTTCGTTTTAACTCGTTCGGGGCCTAGTCGCACGCGTAACGGATACCGTGACCATTAATAAGTGTACGTAGCTGTAAACACGCATATTGATTATTGGCGACAGGTCTTCCACGAGATCCCGACGAGCTCTTTGCTTTTGACGAACTACGACCCATTCTACTCGCCCCTGCTGTCACGTCTGGATGCCGTTTTCTCTCGTCTTGGACACAACACGGAAGGCTGCAGGGAGTACGCGGTGTGCGCGATGTATCGGAGTCCCGCGCGTTACGCGCCATACTCGAACTTGGTCTCTGCCCAGCTGTCTAGGGAGCTGAACGAGCTGAGGAAACCCAGCAGCGACAATCCCGACGTTCTACGTTTCTTCAGATATATGAAAGCTGCGAAGGACGGCCAGGATGGCGTCAAGTGCGAAGAGATATATTCGAATTGTGCGAACGCTCGCGAAGATCAAAGCCTGAAGCAAAATCAGGCAATGCTCGCGACGTACCAAGATATTAATAAGCTCGTTCAGGCCAGAAAGGTTTGAGAACGTCATAACTTACTTTCGTTACTGCTGTTAAGTTATAATTGCAAACGCAATAAAAAAAGAAGACACATGGCATCTCATGTCGAATGTGTGAGCTTTAGGAGCAGTGGCCTTATAGTTCGCTGTTTGGGAGCACTAGTGCAATCGCTAAAAAGATTTAACGTTTGCTCTAATGATTGAACATTTGTTCATAGATATTGCGCATAATTAAAGTTTGTAGACGTTTTTAGTGGTGGATTACTACGGTCGCACGCGAGGCGCTCGAGAGGCTTCAAGATGCAAAACTACGATTTTTCTTTCTCTCAAAAATTTAATTAACATTTAGACAGAACTTTTAAAATAAAAATAATATTTAAAAGTTTTCAAAACGGCCTCAATTTTAAATTTTGGGATAGCATTTTAGATGAGAGAATCCGAAATTGATTTGCATTTGAAGCTTCTGAGAAAGTCTTAATCCGCCATTATTCGAATCTGCAACTTCTGTAACAAGCTCTTGTACCATACACAGTTTCCTAAATTATCGTTTGTAGCAAGTGTTGGCTCGATGTCGATATTACAGCAACATGTAAACCTGTGAAATCTCATAGCGAATTCGGTTGAACGCATCAGTGCGCACTGTTGCACATTAAAGCCGTCGCATACAAGTCAGCGTAAAGATGCGTCTGTGTGTATGTGTACGTGTGTGTAATATAAATATGTAAACGAGTTAAATCGCGAAACCCTCAATGTGCTGTAAAATATGTATTCGGCATTTTATTAGTCGAGATATTTACATCTCACTTCTAGATTAGATCAGTGTTTAACAACGGCTTTATTACGCATCAGTGCGCACTAATGCGTCCAACCGAATTCGTTATCAGAACTTTTATTGATTTATTTTTACGAAAACACAGAATTAAGTTTATAATAATTTATACATATTTTTAAAATTATTGAAATTTTTAGTATATATTTTTTCATTGCGTACTATGTTATTAATATTTTTGTTTTAAAACATGTTAAAAATAACAAACGCACTTTCTTGCATATAGGTAATCAACTATTACATCCAGTGAAAATGCATTGTGAGAACAAGGAACGTTTAGAACAGAGCGATATTTGATGCCGGCATAATTGTGGGCAAGCCAATATTAGTATTATTTTCTAAGCATCTTGGAAAGTGGAAACTGTTTTAAATAATCAAGAACCTCTTGATTTACATAATATTTTGCTTTAGATTACGAGACAGGTACATGTGATTTAATCTACTTCTCACGTAACAAAGCGATTTAAAAATAGAAGTGAGAGCTGCTTATGATTTTAATATAAAAATATTATTAGAGAAATTTATTTTTTATAAGAGTAATCTTGTGGAGCTTACGCTCAAGAATTATACTAAAGAATATTTTCATCAGATTTAATTTGCTCAAATCTGTTGCAAATTTTAAAGAAGAATTTTAATGCAATAATACCCTTAAATAGGTATTTGCACAAATGAATGATTGGTAAATAATTTATAACGACATAAATAAATAATTAATTTGATGAGTTGTGTGAAATATGATGTATAATGTTAAAATTATTATATTTAATTTATATTTATTTATTGAATCTCTCTCATGTACACAAGATTTAATCTTGTGATGATTAATAGTGATTTTGCATATTTATTTATGTGACATGAGGATGAAGATGCTAATTTATGCAATCCGAATTAGAGACATGTTGCGCAAAGCACATGTGTATTTAGATTAACTCTAATTTTATTTAAAATTTGCGATTATTCCATTAATTGCATGATATATTTATAAATTGATGTACGCCAATAAAAGATTCATGACGTTAGTCACGCGGGTTTCTCCAAAGTAAGGCAGTGCAATGCGTCAGCATACGACATAATCATTTATGTAATCAAAATCCTGTTTAAGACATAAAGCGATAAGAATAAAAAAGGAGTTTTTTTTTTATTAAAAACATATGCATAGAACAGTGTGATAAATCAATCAAATCTTGTAACGAATGAAATTACATACGTCACAGAGTGCGCGTTGCAAAGAATATAGTAAATTACAGTTTTTTAATAATTAAATTGTGTCGATTTAATTGTGGGAGGATGGAAGGGTTTTTTTAACGTTCTAATGATAACTGTGTTTTAAGTCCGGCTGTGATCGGAGTGAATAGTTGGAATATATATGTGTTACAATAATACATATAAAAATTAGATATGAATTTTCCGTAATATCTATTAATGCTCGTATAATGGTCTTACTTCTCATTATAGCCTTTGTTTCAAACAAACGAAAAATAAGTTTCTTATTGTTAATATAGTAAATGTTATCTCGCATATAAAGGAAAGTGATTTATGATTCAAGAACCGCTATTACGGCACGAGAAAAAAAAGAGCATCAGTAACGAAAGGCAGAATCGTACCCTCTAATATGGCGATGACGTAGGTTGGGTTGTGTAAAATGGAGATGAAAGTACATTGACTTCCTCGATCCCTCCTACAACGATGTACATACCTTCCGTCTCCGTCTTCGTCTTTTAAGTCTACCTAGTTCCGGTTCTTATTCCGGATACCACTTTCACTTTCAATTTTTGTAAATCCTCCTGTTCGCCGTTCTAAGAATGACTTACGGATCCTATCCCCTCTCGGAACTTGATGGTACGCCATATAAATACAAAGATAATTCGTGTCAAGGCGTCATATAACTTTCGGCTTAAACTGTGCCTAGTACGTATTGACAAATTCTTAGTCTATCAGTATTTTGAAGTAATTTTGAAACATTCGGTGTTTTAATTTATATAAATTAACTCTTCTTTTACGCTCTAGTTTCTAATTAGTAAGGTAAGTTAAGACAATTTAACAAATTTCAAATTATTCTTAATTTTTTATCCCCTTTTAGCAGTTTTTTTTGTCAACTAGTTAAAAATTTATTTTAATCTTTTAAATTCTTTTAATTTGTTTTATTAGTTTTTTATTTACTTATTGTTTAGTTATAAGATTTTGGGCTGCTTATTTTGTTTCATCTAAAAGAAACTAGCGCTAATATCGCTACAATTTTTAATCATATATATACATATATATGTTACGGAGCAACAATTTATTTTGCAATTTCACAACTCAACTGAAAGATTTGTGGTCAGAAAAATAACTCTGAGATATATATTACTATTATCACTCAAATGGAATGTGCGCGTGATCAGAATTGGAATCAGAAATCCGCTTACTTTTATTCTTCGCTTCTGATTGGTACGCTCATCTAACGGCATTTGGTGAACCAGCGCGTCGACTGCCAACAGTCGATCGCGAAAACCTGTGAGTGCTGTTTGAGAATCACCACGAGTACGTCTTTTGACAAGGATGTCGCGTAAGGAATATCGAATCGGGATAATTTGATAGTTTGGTGAGATATTTGATCATATTTAAATATATTTTCTCCTATTTTGATAAAAAACAAAAAAAATACATAAATTATATGGTTGATTCCGTGTTAATAGTAATATAACTGTTTATGTTAAATAGATGCGTGTATTCAAAATATTTCAACGTTGATTTTGTTAATGCAAAATAAAACAGTGTTGTTAGAAATCTAACAAAAATATTTGAATATAACGGTGAAATTTGTAGTTTGCGGTAGTTCACATGTCGTTTTAGGGACGGCCGATAAATGTTAATCAATTGTATCGATATGATGATTTGTGTCTTCCAATTTTTAATATACACATGTTTTGTTTTAAAATACTAATATAGAGATCCGTGATTGCAGGTAGTGTAAATAGAAGAGCAGAATGCAACTGCAGCGGTTGTTGGTAATTCTAGGAGTCCTTTTGGCATTATCTTTGTTGGCATGTTGTCAGTCTACCGGGAAAATTACATTTCAGGATACGGCTACCGAACGCCAAGCAGATAAACAAGGTAAGATATTTTATTTTTTGAAATTATTTGTATAAATAAATTTTTAATAATAACTTTTAACAGTTATATGTTTAATTCATTGCGCATAATATTTAAAATTTTCATAAACGTCTAATTTCTTGACGTTACATAATTTAAATAAAGAAAGTACTATACATATTTTTATGATATCTCAAATTATTATAATTTATTCTTTAATTTTAAACTGTAATATTTTGTTTAAAATAATAAAAATTATAAACTAGAATTATATGTTAATTTATATGTTAATTTATAATTTCAGAGAATCTCAAAGAAGTTTCATCGCAACAGAGAGGATTTAATCCTGTTCAACATGTAGAAGATTTATTCAGTTACATTGGTCTTGGAACTGGACGAAATGTTGATCCGTATTTGGCAAAAGTCAATGAACGTTGCTTAACTGGTGATTTAGCTGAATGTTTCAAATCACGAGCATTAAATTATTTTTCAGACTTTTTCGATCATGCCGAATATTCTTTAAATGATAATGTCCAAATTAAGCGAATGTCTGATCAAGTAATAACGGAAGTATATCGGCAGCCATACGAATATTCTAATGAACCTAGGTATGTCATTATTTTTACAGGTACAAAAGTATATACGTAATTGTATATATAGAAATATAGATATTCCTTTTTACACATAAGGTGTTTATGCAATTATGAAATGCACAAATAATTTTCCTAAATGTTCTGATAATTAATCTGAAAAATATGTTGTTTGAATTATTAATAAAATATAATAAGTACTGTGCCTTCTAAATTAAAAATAAAATATGTTAAATAGGTCCGGTGAAACAGAATGGGATCAAATGGTCAATTTCATGAAAAGGAAGATGGAAAAGTTTGTTAAAACAATGTCCTTCGAACTAACTATTCCTAAAGTAGAAACTGATCTTGACGAAGTTTATAAACCGAGATTTTTGAATGAAATTGCTGATGAAATCGATACACTTGAGAACAAAAAGGATTCGCTATTTTGTAAGTACTTATTTAAAATTATTACACAAGAGAAAATTCTTTTAATAATAGAAAATATTTTTAAAAATTCAAGAGCGTGATATATGTTTATGAGGACGCTCGCAAATCCATTCTTATGTCTGGTCAATTTAAATTATTTATGAAAGTCGATCTAAAATATATATATATATATTTTTTTTTTAATTTTATTGTAGGAATCTTTAAGTATTAATTTGTGACACGTTTATGTATAATTTGTATTAATAGAATGTCATTGCGCATTATAGTCAATTAATTTCATGATTTAATGTCCGAAGTTAATAAAGATAATACTTTTATTTAATTTATTTATAAAGATTTTTTCTGTCAGATTGTTTATATTAATAAAATATAAAACAATTTTATACGCGAAATTAGGATTTTTAATATTTTTATTAAGTATTACTTATACATATTAAGAATATAAATATTATTTTTGATAAGTATACACATTTTTATTTTTTAAACATTTTACTATTATAGATAAATATTATATTATATAGATATATAGACCTATTATATAAACCAATTAATTAATAATAAATAAATTTAATTTAAAAATTAACTATTGTTTTTATTTAATTTTGTTTAATAGCTAAAATTATTTAAAAGGTTAAAAGTGCGAAATTAGGTTACTTAAATTATTTAAGTTTATTAAATGAAAATTTATTATGTATTAAAACAAACTTTGAATTTGTTTTAGCTCGTAATCGACTCAAAAAACTTCTTATACCGTTCTTGATCATCGTAAAGCTCTTCAAAGTGAAGCTATTATTATTATTGCCTTTAATTTTGGGACTAGCTTCATTCAAGAAGTTCCTTGGATTTTTGGCCATCATCATTCCTGGTCTAATAGGTTTCTTTAAGCTTTACAAACCGTACCCACATTATTATCCAGTATACACTAAAAACGGAGTTGCTCAACCTCATTACGAATCACATTCGAATTTTGATTATCATGGTGATCATTATGGAAATGTAGATTCCTATAGTCACGATTTAGCATATCGCGGATATCAGCATTATAAATCCTAATTTATCGATTTATTTATTACATTATATTTCTAAAAAACAGATTATGATTTAATAAGTAAATTTTTAGTTTACAAAGATTATTATTTATATATGAAATGTTTATTTTGATTATTGATGTCTTAAATTATAATGTTTAAATTATTTTACTACTAAGTTAAATAATAAATAAAAAATTTAAAGCATACTTTTTTTATTCACTAAGTTGTATATATATTCAAATATGTGCCTCAAATATATATAGTTGTATATATAATTAAAGCATGAATGTGTAAGTTTATATATTCTCTTTTTGAATAAAAATATTGAAATATAAATTTATTATTTTAATTTTGCTATATCGATTTGAATATTTCTTAAATTGTATGACAAGCTGTTTTTTATTAATTTATATTAATTAAGTATATAATTAAGTTTTTAAATCAAATCTAAAAATATATGAATATATTGTGCATATAATTAAGGCGTGAATGTGCAAGTTCATATATTCTTTTTTTGAATAAAAATAAAATTAAAACTTACTATTTAAATTCTGCAATATTGATTTTTATATTTATTATATAGCAACCTGTTTTCTGTTACATTATGTTAATTATATATATAGATGTGTATAATTAAGTTTCTGTCAATATCTAAAATATATCTACATATATTTAAAGATATTCTGTTTATATTTATTGTTGGAAATTATTGAATCTTTCTATATATGTGCATGCATAATAGAGTACAATTGGCTTTCTTATTGTCTTAGTTTCTACCTATTATTCTTGCGCTACTTTTATGATATAGGTATGCTCTCAATGTCAAGAATCGATGTATAACATGTTTACGTGATGTGATTAATTTGTTCACAGAGATTATAAGAATTATTGCAACTGGGTTAATAATTATGATATAAAATTAAGCAAGAGAGAACGCGCTTAATTGTTTTCTGATTCGCTATTAAAATGAAAACGACGTTTTTTAGTATTACAAGCTTTCTACAAAATTTCCTCTAGGTGAAAACTAATCCAAGAAACTGTCATTAAAAGGGTAACATAAGTCATATAAGATTTTATAGCAGTCTGTGCATTATATAGCATTAAATAATATATGTATGATAATATATATCGGTGTATAAATTGATAAAATAAAAACTAAGTGAATAAATTATGATATTTATTTATATTCTGTTTCTTTGGAGTTTAATTTGTACAAAATTCAAGTTAATAAACAATTTTAAAAATATTTCAATATTTGTATTAATTTGTATTTAAAAAATTAATTATAAATTCGTTAAAATATTGCAATTATATATTTGATATTTTATGTAATTTTTAATGTTTAGTTCCTTGATATCGAAGATTTTGAAACATCTAAGAAATGTGTTTATATTGAGAAGCAAAACTTCTCTCTCTCTCTCTCTCTCTCTCTCTCTCTCTCTCTCTCTCTCTCTTTTTCTTCCTCTGTCTGTCTGTCTGTCTGTCTCTTCTCTCTAGAGAAAGATTCACACTATAATCAACAACGTTTATGACTCTTGCGTGAGTCGATTCCACATATATCATCAATAGGCTTGTTTACTTATGCAACACATTTCATATTTGTTTTCATGATAACTGTTTAAATTAGATTTAAACCGTTTAGATTTACATTAATAACACAAGCATCTAAACTGCTTATTAATTTTTCACACTTATTGTATGTAAATGTAAGATTTTATATAAAGAGTATAAGTAGGCAAAAATATATAAGTTTTATATTACAATTGAATAAGGTTAAAAGTTGTAAAGCTTTAATGAAAAATTAAAAATTGTTAGGTTGTATTGAACCACTATTTTAACAGCAACAAAGATTTTTAACTTAGGAACTTGATTGATACGCACTTGATGCGTATAATAATAATGATATAAATTTACATACAAAATTTATATATAAAATATAAATTTATGGTTTTTTAAATTTAATCAAAAGATGTACCGTTACCTAAAGATATTAGTTACATGTCTGATCGCATCTAAATCACTCGTAGATATATAGTTGATTATTGTCGAAACGTCTCTCTAATTCCGTGAAAATGCTGTGCGCGATATTACACCGGTTCTTTCTCAGGTGCACAACGAGGAACTATCTTGTACGCAAACCGGTCTGATACGATTCTCACTCGCGATCCAGAGAATCGGATAGAACGGACCTGCTGACCAAGTGGCCCCGTTTGTCGAGAAGACCGGAAGCGGCTGATCACCCCGCGATATATGGAAAGCAATTTGATAGAAATGCACGTCAGTTCTAACCCTTCGGAATTACTTGTATTAGAATGTTAAATCACTCTTTTTATAATTACGGACAAAAAAGAAATGAAATTATATACACTGCAATATTGACGCAATTAATAGCGATTAAATTACATTGGAATAGTCACAAATCTTATACGTATTTATATCTTTTATAACTTATTTATGTTGATAAAAATAAATAAGTAAAAAATAAAAAGAATACTATATATATATAAAGGATATCTTTATGCTATATGAGAAATTTTTGAATGCAATGCATGATACTTCAAATCAATAATTTGTATCTGACAGGGAAGGTAATTAATCTTCCTGTGTTTGACGATCGTGTGAGTGAAAGATTATAAATAAAGAACAAGCTCGACATTACAATGCGATTATTTGACCGTCGTGCTGCAAAGAAAATCCAGTAGTACGTGCGAACTAGTGCATTTATAATAACATAAATTTTCCTAGATATGCAAGCATATCTATGTCGAATTACTAAGAACACTTAGGATGCTCACGCGTAATGTAAGTAAGCGCAATACAGCGAAAGCGATGCCCGCAAATAAAATAGGCCATCTGACTTTTCGGCTTTCGGATATTTTCTATTAAATTGCCAGAGATTAAGTTTCCTTGCGAGGAATATACTTGAAAATTTTCTGTATGTATACTTTCTACATTTCCATGACCGATTTCATTTCCTATAAAGCACGTAACTCGTTTTAACTGTGTAAGCAATGTTGTACGACAGTACAGTTACACGTACTGAATAATAATTGCCAATGTATTATTTTATTTTAAATCTGATCGTTAATGTTGCACTTCTTTAGTTTGAATCGTGCTATCTTCTTTCATCATCGTACAATGGTTTCGAGTTATCTCATATTATGAGTGTGGGATCTACACAGCTGATGTGCTTACCTACGTGTATATGCAAATTAAAAAGAAGTCATTTACGCAAGCCTTTATTTTATTGAGTCACGTATATCTTCTTGCGGTACCATTTGCTGCATTAACGTCTATTATTTTATAAAATTTATAAAAATACATAATCAGATACAATAAATTTAAAGAAGATAAGTAAATAAAAAGCAATTTTAAACAGTAACTTTTTAACGCAGCATAAATCGAAATAATGACAAAATGATGTTGTGTGATATGAGATGTAGTTATATTTGCATGCTATATAGGGTAATTACTTCTTTATTTCGAACGACGCGTATACACACATTCAGGATCCTCACAAAATACCCGTTCGGAATTCGACGTAACGGTTCATGGAGCACCAGAACGTTCGTTCTCGCGAGTGCCTTGGTCACACGATGGTACAGTTTGCGTGGGGAAAGATCGGCTAACGTGTATATACGGACGAGCTTTCGCGGCTAGGTCGATCGCGACGTTAACCTCTGTACTGCGAAAGTCGCTTTTACGAGAAAACGGGCTGAATTCGAGAACGAGAGAGGCGGATATGCCCGTTTTCTTCGATCTTCCCCACGCCTCATTATCCATCCAGTTAACAGTATTCGATTTATTTAAGAGATATCTCCAATTATAATCTCAAATACTATTTCACGTAGGACATCTAACTGAATGGCTATATTATGTCTTAATTTTATATTTGCATAAGTATATACATACATAATGTAAATGTTGAGAGATTGTGAAGATTATTCTAATATTTAATATTACACATATAAATATTTGAGATAATTGTTTTAAGATTGGCACCAGATCTGATAGTAAAACATTGCTTATTCTGTTTGCCATAATTACGGTGATTATTTATTGCAACAAAATACTTTAGACGGAAGTCTGCGGGGTTTTTTGTAATTAATAAAAACTAGGTGCACTTCTCATTACGAAGTAGACATAAATAAGTATTAATATTTCTTCATGCATTATATAACTTCATACTTGTTTCGTGAAAGATGTATTTTGCCAGACAAGTTTAATGAGAAATAGTTTCCTATATAATAGTTTTTTTATGAGAAAGAGAAAGAGAGAGAGAGAGAGAGAGAGAGAGAGAGAGAGAGAGAGAGAGAGAACTCCTGGTTTAATTAAATCATATAATGTGTACGACTTGATTAATTGTCAAAATATTGAAATTTGACTTATAATAAGCTTGCATATTTCTTGGCAGTAAAACGTGCATCGCAATGCTTAGTTTGTAAATTATTATCTTCTAGAATAATTTCTTAACTTTATACACGTACCTTGTCTATTATAGATTAGCTTTGTAACGGGTATTACAAGTCCGATGAAACATTAATGATCTTTACTCATTGGAAAATGTTTCTAAATGGTGTTTAAATAGCACTCAACTCCGTATATCCGTCACATGTGACATGCAATGCGATAAATATGCAATTGACGATACCTTCGCTCACTCGTCTCTTTGCTTGTCTTTACTTTCCTTGGAATTTTTGTAATGCATCGCTGCTTTCTACACGTTTGCACTTTGATTTCGTTTTGTAATCGAAGTGACGTAGGCAGATTTACGAGCGAATTAATGAATGACGAGTGAACACATCCGATAGGACTTACTCCTCAATAAGGATGTAACATCGGGAACAACGGAAGCAATAAAATTAATCGAATCCGAGTCGCTCAATTGTTCATCAGATCATACGTGATGTATGTGTGCACGCGCGCGCGCGCGCGTGTGTGTGTAACGTGTGATTACTGATTAGATATAATGCTGTCTATAAGGCAGGTACATGTATCAGCATTGCGAATGTACCGATACGAGTTAGAGTTTCTCTTCAACACCCTGCATCCTTGTCATTCTGGAACAAACGTATATCCGGTATATCTGCATGCCACCGCTGAAGTATGTTAATCTAATATATCTAATATATTGATTCTAAACGATTTTCGAAAAAATAATAAAATTAAATGAGATAATTTAAAACGCATGAACGCTTCTTCGCCGAACTCCTCTGCTCCAGTAATTCTCTTGAATTATACTCGTTTATCCCAGCTTTCCCAGTATCTTGGCTTTCCTTCTTAAACATCGCTTGTGGTCGAGTCTCATCTCTCTACCCTAAAAGTCCATGAGCGCGTAGAGAAGGTTCGTCGTGAAACGACGCGGCTAGAGTCCGCGATTAACGTGCCGCACGAGTCGCACGCTCGCGTATAAGGTAGACGCTTACGCATTTGCGAGCTGGGGATGGATGGCGTGCGTGCTCTACATCCGTGACACGGTTCTCGCGGGCGGGCAGGTCGGGTAATGGTCCATCAGAACTATAGGGGCTCGCGTGTTTGCGGCTGTTTACATACATGAGCCGTACGTACTGCTCTTCACCTACACACAAGGCCACGCGAGTGATGAGCCGCTACTCTTTCGCGAGTTTACGACGCCGGTGCCGGTGCCGGTGCATCGTTCATCGCTGGGAACCAGTTTTGCGCGCACGCTCGAGGATGACGACGCCGTTCTCCTCCCCTTCAGAAGAGATACGTTGGCGTCGTTCTCCTTTGCGCGTCGCCGGGCATCGTATGTATAGGTATGCGCATCGCGGAAATACCAGTTTGTGAATAAAGGACGACAAGCTTTAACTTCGATATCAGTTTGATTTTCTCTCTTCGCGCTTGCAAAACAGAATGAGCGACTCATCCCACCACCAAGGACTATCTGAGCCTGAGCACACTGTGGCAGATCCATTGCGGCCGTTCGCAAAGCCTTATTAAAGGCAAAAGTGGGTACCACTACCATTCGTCCATAGCCATCGCCACCCGCTACCCGCCACTCGCCATTCGCGTCATCATCGTCTCGCGCAGGGGGCCCCTATATACTACCCGCGGGAGGTGGTGGTCGATGTGCGACGACATCGTGCACACCTTAGTATCTACTAAGGCGGATATCTACGTATATAAACGCGTCGGGGCGAGACGCGAGTTCAGAAGTCTTGTGCTACTCCTCGATTCACGTACCGGGATTGGGAAGAGAAGCGCGTCGAGATAAACTCTTCGCGACATCGACCAGCTGATCGGCGAATTGAGAAAAGAACTGCCACTTTGCCTCCGCGCGCACATCTCGGTCACCCCTTTCTCGCGTTTCTGTAGCTTTTAAGGCTTCGGGCCAACAGGTAGGTCAATTTATCATTTTCATTATTCGCGGATCATCAGCATGTCGCTCGAAGGCACGCGCATCGACAATTGTACCTTACCTTACATATGATTGGCATGTTCTTGACGGGCGTTGAGCATTTATTTCAGACTTGTTGTGATTTGTTCTTATAATTTAACTGTGAATCAAATCTTATTTTTGTTATATTTATTGTTATATTTATATACATTAAATTGCTTTTTAGTTTCATTCTGGATTTGGTGGATATTGTTAAGATTTTTATTTATCTTTATTTTTTTAATTTTTTATTTATTTTAGATTTTTAAATTTTAAATTTTATTTTATTTTAAATCTTTTTAATTAAGCAAAGATACAAGATATATAATTTTTACTTATTCTTTGTATTTTTGCTTAATTAATAGCTTTCTGTGATTGTTTTTCGTGGATTATTGATCTTTCGTTATACTGATCTGCGTCATGAAATGTTTCAGCAGAAAAGCACCATGAAGACGACTTTCATATTGATTTTGTTTGGCCTTGGGATATGTTTGGCTAACCCTTTGGAGAAGAAGGAAAAAATAAGCGTCGTTGAGCAGCAGACCGTGACGCTAACAGATCGAGCTAAGTACGAGGAGGAACTTCTTCGTAAACTCAACTCGAAATGCTCCCAGAACGACATCAGCAGTTGCGTGATGTTGAAGTTGGTGACGTACATGAATAAGCTGCTGAAGAAGGCTTCGATCGAGCTGACGGACGACATCGAGATCAGGAAGACGAGCCAGACGTCGGAAGATGTGATCACGTTCGAGGCCGGCAGAAGCAAGGACGATGAGATTCAGGTCCTTGATCTCGTCGCGAATAAAGTTTACACCTTCATCAAATCGAGAAGTATCAAATGGAGACTTCTACCCGAAGACGACATTGTCGCATCCGCGTCGGAAGACGAGACCGGTGCGCTAAACTTGGGTCTGTCTATTGAGCGCGCCGACAGACCTGTTCAAGACGGTAATTATAACTTTTATACACTATTCTGTTAAAGAATTTTCAAAAATATATTTTAAATAGAATTAAGTATTTAATTAAACGTTAATTTATGTTTGATGCTGCGGCAAACGCACTCTAATTAATTAATTTAGTTTATTAAAATTTATATAATTAGACGTTATGCTTTTATAAATTTTACAGATTTGATATAAATAAACTTGATAATTAAGCTTTGAATTAAAATTCTGTTAAGCATGTAAAATATTATTATCTATACGTCATTTTTAATTTGCAAAACTTCATTTACTTTAATTACTCAAAAGTTATAGATATGTTAACATTTTTATTATTATAAAATTATGCCAGCATTAGACAAAATAATTTTAATAACTAGTGTGATATTTATCAAAATTATAATATTATCGAACAATCTTATATAGTTAAATAACGTGTCCGGTGTCAGTTTTCCTCTGGTTTCAATTTTCGTTGTTTTCACAGTGAGTAAAGTTGTGTCATCGACTACACTAAACAAATAGCTTTCACCTTTAGTTCGTTAATCTATACTCATTCATCCGTTCATAACCGAACTTTATTGCTTTCTCTATGGAAAGTCTAATTATGTATCTGTAAAATCGTTTCTTCATCTTCTCTTTGACTAACTCGCCGAAAGTGATAATAGCGTAATTCGTTCCACCTTTTGTAGGCCGTGGAAAAAAGGGTAACAGTATGGGTCCGTTGATCGCCGCAGCCGTCTTAAAGATCGGCCTCATTGGTGGTCTCGCGTTCAAGGCTCTCGCCCTCCTGGTCGGCAAAGCTCTCCTTTTGTCGAAGATCGCGCTTCTATTGGCTACTATCATAGGCCTGAAGAAACTCTTCTCGCAGGGAAAACACGTGACCTACGAGGTAGTAGCACATCCTCACCACAGCTCGAGCCATTCGTTCGACCATGGCCATGGTGGTGATAGTTACTCTAGCGGTTGGGCGAGAAGCTTCCACGAACAAACGTCGATTCCTGGACAGCCAGACGCCCACGAGTTGGCTTATGCGGCGCACGTAAAGTGATTGATTCCTATCATTCGAAGCAGGATCCAAAAATCGCCGAGATCGACGTTTGAGACAAGAAGTGCGACGTTCTTGGATCCGTACCAAACCTATTCTTGAGAATCATTCCTAGATTTACAGAATATTTATTTCTATCCATAATTATCCACTTTACTTCGTCCTTTTTCCTCTCTCGTTTCTTTTATCCTCAACGCTATAATTCTCTTTAATCCTCTTTTTTTTCTTTGATACTATTATATATACCTCCGAACGACTGCACGACGCATGAATATTATATAATACGTCAATGACACACAGCGACGCACGTGTTTATTACAACGCAACGGCGACATCAGGATGTCACGTCACGATTTACGGATACGTAGGCAGGTGGGCAGGAGATTCTCGGATGCATACGCATGAAGGATACGCATCACAAGAATCTTACCTACTTTCGCGACTCTACTTGTGAATATAATCACAGATACTGTGAGACTCTCGTCATTAGGACATTAAATTATGCACGAGCATTATATTCTTCTCGCTTCTCACATTACAGTATTTAGATCTGTGATATCTCAAGAGCTTAGGATTACGTTTACAATATGCATTAAACGTTAAACGTGATTACTCTACTTTCAGTTTGTATTCTCGCATCTCTGCCGTAGGTTTGGCGCTAGATATAACTGTCTCATTTCATATTGAATTTTATTCTAGATCTAGATCAATTAATTTTGGAGGCTATACTATGATTATACTTGACGTTAAATGTGCGGTTAAATGAATATGAGAGAATCTTTTATTGATATTGTTTATTTGATATTTATAATTTATTTATATTTATAAGATTATTTTTAAAATTAAGAATTTTATATTTATCAAAGGTAATTACTTTTAACGTTAAATGTTATTCGAAATTAGGGCAAAAGATGTTGAAATGAGATCAACATCAAGAGAATTATCATTAAAATGATATGATACTAAAAGCTCAAAAAAGCCCTCCAAGCTCTTTTCATCGGTTTTTCGAATATTTCTGTGTAATTTTAGCGTGATGAATCGTGAAGAGAGAAGTTATAAAATTCTCTCTACTTTTGTAAATAATTAGTAAATAGTAAAATAATTACACGTAGTCTGTGTAATTAATTTGCCGATTACTTCGTTTGTATTTTAAATTGAAATTATTTTCAACAGAGAGTCCTGTAGTAATTTACTTGACACAACGGACGGACAAGTTTATATAAATATACACGTTTACACTTCTTTAACAGAGAAGAATAACTTGAACGTACAACGCCAGAATGACGAAAAATAATGACTGACGATGAGTTACATAAGTGCATGTATATTTTATTTATATTAATATTAATATCTTAAATTAATATGTGTTTAATTTATGATTGTCTGATTAACAAGACTGTGAAATGTATAGTAATACTTTTTATATTATTTTTTATACCAACAAAAATAAATTATTTATTATTTTTATAGAACTTTGTTTATTTGTCACATTTATAATTATGGAAATATTATAAACGAATTTTATTTTTTTACTTTAGTTATAACAATAATATAGTTTTTTATATATAGCTAAATTATTACAGCTAAAAAATATCATAATATGCTCAACGAATAAAAATAAAAATTAAATCAAGATTTTTATTCAAAGCAAGACATCAATACTGAAGTAATTATTATTATCTATGATCAAATTTTTCAGAGTACCTTTGATTCGCATATACATATTGTACAAATTGAGAGACTACTGAACATTCAATCTTTATTTTTTATTTCTCACAATAAAACTTGATTATAATTATTTATAATTGCTTATAATTGCTCACAGTTGCTCAATTGTAAAACGTAGTAAAGATAATAGCGAGTGCTAGTAATTTGTTGCAATCTCTTAATACACTACTTATTTTGGAATAAAATTGTGGAGAAGATTTAATATTTAAGGTTGTCCTCCTTTTTTAATGGTGATGACTGATGTCTTTGAAAAAACAACTTTCAAGTTAATCGAGACGGATACGCTCGACTACGCTAAACATAAATCCCTGCGAACTATACTGGGCACTACAAGTATTTTAGTCACGATCGTTAGTTGTGGTCTATTTAAGATAACTTGTAGACCGGATAGAACAAAACATCGCGCATCGTGTGGATATGAGAATAAAAGTTACCGCGATTTCACATCCAGGCGATTCATTTCGATAGTTTAGCTTAGCTGCTTAACAAAACAAAGTTGCGAGTGTGTGCGATAGAAAATTTGAAGTTTAATAATAATTAAAACATGTAACGTTACTAAATTAACGAGTTATGAAAGGGTAAAATTAGTAAAAAATTAATTTTGTACCTTTCTCAGAGAATTTATAGCTAATATTTGAATTCCATTTTGTATAATTTAACAAGAGATTTAACATTATTACATTAACATTATTAGTGAGATTCTTATGTAAAAGACGAATTTTTCTTAGCAGTTAAATCATCGAAGATATGTTTTTATATTAAATGTTAAATGCATGTTCTGGTTTGCGATTTTTAGAGCGATTTTAGCGTCAAGTTTGTGGCGCTTTATTTTTACTAGTTCATTGTGTATATGGCGTAATGTGCGTCTGCGTTTGACACAGACGTAACTGATACTGTAAATCCTTATAATATACTGTTGTATATTGCAAATGGTTGTATGTCGTATATTCTTTAAAAACCGTAAATCTTTTCTTTTGCAACTTATAATATATCCGTCATATCGATAATCATTAATTTCTGTACACTTTTCTTATAATTTATTTTTCAATTTACACATATGTATATATGCATATCTATAGAATATATACATCTGTAATATTTATCTAAGTAGGATAAAAAAATTTGAATTTATGTTTTGAAGAGGGATTGGATCGAAGGGAAAACTACCTGGACCACGTGATACGTCAGGCATTTCTCATTCAAATAAGTTGACCTCCATTTGAGAATGCCCGCTTTCTCCATCCTGATCGGTTTTAAAGGATCCGAAGGAAGATATTCGCGAGATAAGACAGACGCGATGTGGCAGAAAGAGAGTACCGTTCGTCTCGTACCATTCAGGAAATCAACTTTCGATTTCCGACGTACAGGGGCATCGCGGACTTGACCCAATTTCTATATCCTTTTTTTCTTTCTCTTTCTTTTTCGAAAAGCGTTCGCACGCGTGGCGGAGAAAGAATTTGAGGTCTGGTGTGTCCGAAACCTCGATCGTATACGGATATCGTTGACATACCGATGTCCGTTGATAAATACTTTTTTTTTTAAACCTGACTCAATTACTGTTATTACAAACTGTTACCATCTGCTATTTGCAGGTGATGCCCGAATCATTTACTATTTATCGCCAGGCGAGTAATCAGCGCTATCGATATCGAAAAATTATTATGACAAGTGGATGGAAATGGAATTAATTATTGATTTCTTACATGTAGGTCGATCTTTGCCGGTAACCTGGATTCTTCGAGAATTCTCATTCGAGAAGCAATTATCTAGATCGGAGATATATTAACGGAGCAAAGTGGTAAAATTGCTTGAATTTCAATGTGAAAGATCTATTATCGCGTAATTATTACGGTACCTGTTTATTTAATATGTTTTCTTTTAAAATGTCAGAGAGTCTTCTTAATTCCTTGATTTTAAAAATTATGTCGAATATTAATTTATCATAACAGTAAAACTTTACAAATTGTTAATATTATTTCAGATTTTTGCGATTATCATATCTAACTGAATCAGCAGCATAAAATCGAATAAAACTAATAATTTTTTGTATAGTTAATTTATTATTATGTTAATTAGAAATTTATTAAATTAGTCAAAATAGTTTTCAAGTTTTTTAGGACTTACCAAATTCTTGTATTTTAGTTGATACTTCCTCAGGTTTTAACCAAATTAAGTAGGTATAATAAATGGGATAAGATAGAGGTACAGACTACAGAAAGAATATGGCGAGAGAGAAGACGACGTTTAAATGCGAAAATCTCGTAACGCGACAACGTTCCGATAACACGATTATGTTACGGTTCGTTAAATACTTATGCGAACACTATACTGCGTGAGATAAATTCGCAATAAACCTCCATCTTATGAATGAACTAAAATACAATGCAAATACGTAACAGATACAGTCGTAAATATCCGCGCTTCAAAGTAAACAGAGCACGGCTTAGCGTGCACTAATTAAAATTATCATTCTGTATGAACGTAAGTATGAATTTCGCGAGTACACGCGATATAGTGCAACTGCTTTTGAGGACGTTAATATAATCTAATTCTAATAGATAGTACCGTCTTTAAAGTCTCGTGAGCTTTGATAAGGTTTATGTAGTCGATCACGATCGTGTCCGTATGCGATCGAGTCGTGTCGTGGAACGGAAGAATGATTTCGAACCGGCTGTAGTTATACCTACCAGCCTCTGCTACGTATATACCGCGGTGTCGGGCATGCGAGGGGAAGTGGAACAGAAGAGAAAGGCACGTGGAGATGAACTAGATTTGGATAGTCATCTCTTTCCTTTCCTTCCACGCGTTCGCCATCCTCGTCCTCGCGAGCCACCGGCGTCTTTGCCTCTTTCTCGTTTTCTTTCACACCCTGCCCCTTCCTACATACACATTCGCATTTCTCACATTCCCCGCTTACGACCTACGTAAGGAGTCGTCCTCTCCTCGTCGTCCTGCGTACGTTGACACAATCTAGGCACCTATATCGGAATAAGATTGCCAATAATCCGCTCCACCGCGCAGGCACGCGCCATGGCGATTGGCGGGGCAAAATTCCATGTTGGTATCTCGCATGGGCTAGGTTCAAACACGGTATGCTCGCATCTATTATTTAACGGAGATGCGTACGATTGTGTTACGATCGATACCGGCGATCACGATTCGAAATCGGTACGTTCTCTTCCGCTCTACTAAAGCCCGGGAAAGAGAGAAAGGAAAGAGAACCGGAGCCCGCGAGAAGAGAGTCGCGGCGCAGCGCGGCGCGGCGCGGCGCGGTATCGAATGATCCGGGAGCCGGATAGTACATGATCTAGAATAGTGAGATCTCGCTAGACGCGAATTACGTCTAGCAGAGCAGGTAAAGGAAATAGGCGGAGGAAGGTGCGTGAAGGCGTCATCCGCGCCGATGATGGAACCTCGCTCTCGCAAGCCGACCGCGCCGTAACGCTCTGAAACGCGTCGGAAACAAGAATTAAACGAATCGTCGAGGAGACTGGCATCTAAGTGAACGAAAAATTACCGGCTAATGCACAGCAAGAGCAGAGAACGGCAGCCATCGTGCCCGATGCTCTCCTTGCTTTTTTCTTAGTACAATCACCGAGCCTCACGTAGATCTATATAAATGGGAATTGCGAGCACTTAGGCTGCAGCACTCGGACCTCCGCCGTAGGTTCCGCAGCTTCACGGTTCCTTTGTAGTTTTGTCGCGCGGTGGTTTAACGACGTAAACGCAGAGTTAAGGCCCGCCGCGGTTTCGACGGAGCCCAATTGTTTTGTTTCGTGAAACACCCAAGTTTCCACGACGAAACGATGCTTTGGATAAACAGCATACCGGGAATCGAACGCCGGCGTCTGCACATCGCTCTGGCATTGGCGTTCTGCGCGTTCTTAATCGTTGACACGATCGACGCCGCCACGGACGAAAGCAAGGACACATGGACCGGATTCTCGACGTCATGCACGTCGGAGGACTCGAAGAACGCGTCGGTCTCTTGTCACGGAGTGCGAATCGTACGGAAGATTGTACAGCAGCTCCTGGAGACCACCAGCAAGGAACGGAACATCGAACTGTTCGACGGTGTATCTTTGGTAGAGGTGCCTGGAAGCGGGTCTTCTCGAAAGGCTAGAGTCTTGAAGGGCTTCGGAGGCCTCGAACCTTTCCTACAATTCTTGGAAGGTAGAGAACTGAGAGTTAAGTTACCGTCTTTACTCCCACCGAATATCGAAACTGCCTTGAAGGAGAGTTTGCCCTCCGAAGCTGAAGGTTGGTATGGTTATTCCCGACGATGTAAATGGTGTTGGGAGAAATTTACGAAAATTTGTGAAATTTACATTTTTTAGGAAGGGGCGATGATTTCGGCGTCAGTGGCCGCGGCGGCGGCGGCGGCGGCGGTTTCGGCGGTGGCAAAGGCGGCGGCGGCGGCGGTGGCGGCGGCAAGAAGGGTGGCGGCGGGTACATGATACTAATACTTATGATGGGTAAGTACTCGTGAATAATTATTATCACGTAAAGAGATGATTAATTGAAATAGACAATTATGTGAAAGTAATCGTTACACATTATTTGTACGTTAAATATAATGTCTTGCTTTATCCGCAAATATTCCGTAAATTTTATTACAATATTCAAAACGTTAAATAATTCAATATCATTTTCGATTTTAAGTATTATATTTGCTCATTTTGATAAATGTACATTGCTTAAGAATTTATACTATATTTTCCAAATTATATATTTAATTTATTTAATTATATCTAATGGCAAATGCATAATTATAAGCGTATCATTGTGTTTATTTGTCATTATACGCGTATCTTGTAATTATTACGATTTTTATATACTTTTACGTTACATTCGATTTTTATCATAATTAAAATTTTACTTTAATCTAAAAAAAAACTCACGTTTTTAAACTTATTTAGGCAAGATGATGGCTGCTATGGGCTTCGGCGCATTGGGTCTTCTGGCCATGAAGGCGTTAATGGTTTCGGCATTGGCATTGATGTTGTCACTGATCGTAGCTGTGAAGAAACTAGCGAGTGGCGGCGATGATCACGGCCACCACGTCGTTTACGCGCAAGAAGTTGGCCATCATCATCGCAAGAAGAGATCAATCGAAGACGTCGATTCCACACAGTTACCTTACAGAGGATACGCCCATCTTTACGCTAACTTGGGGTCGTCTTGATGCTTTTGATCGTTAATTGCACCAACCGCGAGATTTAATTGGTTCTTTGCCTTTTTAACTCTCTTATCGCTACTAAAGCTTTTCTCAGATAGATACGGCTAGATGAACGTTGACAATGGCATTGCACATTGACATTGCGCTTATGTAATTTGCATTTCAATCACCTCATCATTGTCCTCTTATCGTCACATTCATTTAACGCAACGTGCACCTTTTTCACAACGTGGCTTTCGTGTTTCTTTATAGTTCGTAAAACTGCAAACGTCAGTCGCGGTAAGAGAGTTAATGGACGCTGGAAAATGACTGATGACGTGACGCGACGCAAGATCAGTGACAGTGACATCGACGAAACGACAATGACTGAGGTACTGATCGACAGCTACGGTAGAAAGTGATATTTAACAAATGCTTGCTCACGAGAAACGTGGTAATTGATCTTTATTGGTCTGCCACTTTGACAGGACTCTCAGTGAAAATCACAGACACGCACCGAAGAAACCAAAGTACGTTGTTTGTCTTTTTATTTATTTATTTATTTTTTTTACCCACATATTTATTATTGTGCAACACATGTTAATAAAGCATTCGTATTTGGAAGATGCGAAATATCGTGTTTGCATTTATTACCATCTCAATTGGTACGCGACTTCAAGTTTTTACAATATTAATTACATTATAACGAAACTGCTAGATTATTTTTATAAATCACAAAATTAGTCTAAACAGAAGCAGCGTTTAGTACGTAATTTTCGGACAAGCCAGCGTAACATCGTTTATTACTTGCTATAAGTAGAAATTAATAAGACATTTCGTATAACAGGCTTGGAAATGAAGCGACATGGTTCGCTGGATCGAGCCCGCCAATATTTCTCGTTTACTTGCACACGGAACATTGGAAAATCGCAGGAACGAGGTAACGAATCGAGCCAATGAGGAAAGTGTGCCAGTGACCTACCGTGCCGCATATTCACCTGCGTTTACTGGATGCTCGTTTACTTAGCTAACGTTCGTCGTAACGCGCGCAAGGTGCAAAGCTAATAATAGTTGGCGCGAATGTCCACCTAAGTGGACTAATGGCGATAGCGCATCGAAAGTTAAGCGCGCGCCTGTCGGCAGTATGCAACGAATTTGATTAATAACGCTCGCGCTGCTGACATCACATTATGCGTTTTTTATATTTGCTTATTCAAGATCATATTTCAAGAAATTTAGAATCGTTTGAGTTTAGAATGTAGCGGGACTCTGTGGCAATTTGTACGAGGAATTTGGTTTGAATCTCGAGGAAATCAATTTGAGTCTTTCAGATCCAAATATGAATTGTGAGAATACGTCCGTAGAGACAAATGCCGGTGCTCGTTTTTATCCGTGGCATTCCCGTGTGCGTGCACGTGGATCCAAGCCCGAAGCGGATTGGAGAGCTCGATGGGAGGAAAAACAGCGAAGGAGAAAGAGGTAGAGGAGAGGTGCGTTGGAAGAAAGGCTCGTAGCGGTGTGAGAGGAACGAATCCTCTTTCTCTCCACGCATCTCTCTACAGTCTGCAGTCTCTACGCCGCTTCTTCTCTGTGTTGGATCCCCCTCCTACTACAGTCCTTGGCTCCTTCTTTCTCCACGTAGTAGGGGAAGGAAGAGCTCCGGCTAAGACCCACTGGCATACATACCGATCGTTTCCTTTTTTACGTTTCGAATATCATAAAACGTGGAGGCTCACGCTGAAAGCAGCTCATTCGGCGATGCAGTCCCGAAATGAGCTGGTCGCCTCTCAGCGTGTGCAGTCCGCGATTGCTGCGACTTTATATCCATATAATATGGAAGGCTGGATCGATCAATTCATAATTCGTTGCGGTATATATTACGCAAGTCGAATGCTTCACTAAATCCAACATTGGCAATTTAATTGCACGCTTATATGCTTAATTTTATTATCCGTAATACATCGCGCTACTTTCCTAATGATTAGAAAGAACGAAGATAACACACGAATAACCGAATCGGATTCATTATATTTAATAAGAATGAAAGCAGCAATAAATTGCAATTATTGTCAACGCGCGATGATTGATGGAAATGCACGATTCATTTTCTTCTCTTTGATCCTTCTTGATAAGTTTTACAACTCCGTGCAAAGGAACGAACGGGTAATGTACCCATCGTCACCTGGATTATCTTTTACTCTGTTCGATACTCCTGTCTTGTCCCGTCTTATTAATTTATATTTAACTAGAGATATGACCTAGACGGTTTCCTATGTCCATTAATGTTCAGTATTAATATAAAATCTTCTATATATAATATAAAATATACATAACTGATTTATGATCTATTGCTTATAATCGATTGAAAGGGTTAATACCGCGTTTTCTGGCACAGCAACCGCGTTATGGTCCATAGACGAGAAGAACCAGTTGGGCGCGGAAGAGTGGCGTTACATTCCCCGTTACATTCCACGCTCATTACAAACCTCGTAAGGAAATTTAAAATTCAAATTCGATTTGGTTGGCTACCGCCGGATCGATTTTTCAGGTCATACGCATGTCGATGGCCAATGGGCATTGAGGCATTGTAGAATTAATCGAACATTGCATCAGAAATTCCTAGCACAGTCGATTGACAGACATTAAACCAGTTACCGACAAGTTCGGAGGCTAGAATATCGAAGACCACCGGCTCTTTCTGATTTAGGACAGGAAACGCAACACAGTTGCTGGATACGCTTTTATGGACGTTGCTGTCCTAAATCGATACGCTTTTTGAATGACTCTGTCTTTGGACTCGGAATTCTAGATACCGTGGGAATATCTCGACTCATTGGCATATTGGTCTAGAAAAATTTCATGACCTCTGAAAGTCGGTGAATGACCTCTATACATTTGCATGTATTAACTGGTAGTGTAACCGAAAAGCGGATAATTTTTTTTATGGAAAAAGTAAGTAAAAGATGTACGATAAAATTTTCTCATGAGAAAAATTATCGAGAAAAATTTTGAAAATTAATAATCCGTGTTTATGATATTTTAATTTTTACTAAAACTTATAACTTTAGAATTATTTTAATCAACAATAATTGTTTTAACATAAAATGAGTTAATTTATTGCTGTAAAAATAAAATTGAGACAGAGAGAAAATTAAAGGTACCGACAAACTAGAATATAAATTTTCCCGGTCTTTATTCCCGGTCTAATAAAATAATGTAATTATTGATTTAAATAGAACAAATTATATCATTCTTTTATACATGCAGCATGCCTTTAACATAATTTGTTGAAACTTTGAAACTTTCGTTTACTCAATTAACGCTAATAAGAAGCTAGTCGAGCAAGTAGTTTTTTAAAAATAGTAATTACCTTCAAAATAATCCACGTGATAAGAACGAGAATTGACGTAATCTGTTTAATTAAAATATCCATTCCTAATCGACATTTCACTGAGCGGAATCATATGGCGGATATACAACGCCGTATTCGCATAAAGCATAGTAATTTTACCACGATGGGCGTGCCTGCGGTTTAGCGATCATTGCTGTCGCTGTATATACAGGAGAAACTTTGGTTTTACTTTTTAAGGCTTGCTTTTCCGTTGGGAGTGAAGGATCGATGAAAGGATTCTGAGTGCTACCCAATGACCGAGAAAGGATGAATGAGCATTGGCGTAAGATTGGGGATGGGAACTGTTGTTCTTAAACTTGCTTTTCATTGAATCCCTTCTTATGACGATAGGATTCGTTGACCGAGTTCAAGACGAGAGTGCTTCTTCGTACGTTACTTCTAATGTGATTATGTGCATGAATTAACAAAGAGGTGCACGCACGCGCGCGTGATCTTTAATAATAGTACAGAATGTACAAAGTGTAATGCATGCAATTTTTTCATTTCCTCTTTTCTACTTTATAATTTCATTTTATTGAATATGTAAGTAATAAAGAAAAGTAATGATTTTTTAACGTGTAATACGTAAACGATGAAAAAAGTGTTACATTGAGTTTGGTTTCCGGCTTAAAGCCGCGTGAATTGTCTATTTGATTCTGAATATTTTAGTTTACTTCATCAGAGAGAAGCAACCTGATACTCAGACAAAAGTAAGTGTTGCTAGAAAGTTTTACAAATTTAGAATCCGTTGATGTTTATATTTTCCATAATACTACGTTGTGTACTATAAAAATATGTAGAACGTGTTTCTCATTTTAAAGTTCTAAGTTACATATCTTTAACAGATTTAAGGATAGAAAAAATGTAGAAAGAAAGAGAGAAAGTGAGAGAGAACTTTCTATATAGAAATTATCTAATATGGTATTTATTTTCTAAGTAAAAAAGTGTATCCTATTTTTCATGTATTTCTATCTTTCCAAAGCGTAGGTGAACATTATATATTTTACATGCATTTCTGTTGCATTTCTGATTACATTTCTGCAAATTGGAAATTTTGACCAGTTACTAAAGTACACGTTTTCGACGCATTCGACGGTCTTAGTGTTAGACTATTGGCGGTTTTACTTTCTCGGAATTCAAACCCACGCCGCACATATACGCCTATTGAATGCGAAGGTTTTCTTGATTGTTGCATTGTATCGTTTTACACTCGCCGCAGGAAGGAATGAAATGAAAATGACAAGCGGCATTATCCGTTGGCCCGTGAGAGTTGCAGGGTCAGAATAGAAAGTGGTGTCCGTGTGCGCCGCGATGAAGGTCGGATCCGGGATGTTTGAACTTGATCTATACCAGTTTTCTTTCATTCATGCTGATCGTGTCCTGTATCCGCGCCTTAAATCAACGACGCACGCACGAAGGACCTATCTATGAGGAGAGAGTACGGCAGTCTTAAGACTTTTCCCCTTGAACTGCAACGATGATTGTCACCGCTAAGAAGTTAGTTGAGCTACTTGAGTTATCACTCGTTACATTACCATTCGCTTACACGAGCTTATACGAGCCTCGTGTATCCGACTTACAATTAGTGGTGTTTCCACGAATAAAGTTTTTAGTAGTAAGACTATAGGATTTAATCAGACATAAAGATTGCATTATTTGTCCGGCTGTTCCATTTATTATCGTCTTTCTTTTTTCTTTACTCGAAAGTATAATACACACAATAAGCTGTAACTTAAGCTTATTAAACACGGTTTATTGTTGCTGTTTGTAGAAATCATAATGAATGCATTATTTGAACGCGAGTTTAGCAATTGGATCTGTCAACGTTTACGTATTCATATACACTTTCTACTCAATTGAAGTTATATTCGTAGCTTAAAATGAATAGATACACTGATTGTGAGCTATTATTTCTCATTAAGTATTTTACTGAAGAAAATGACTAATATCAATACAATATTAATAAATTAGAATACAACTGACATTAACCAAAATCGATTAGTATTAATGCTGGAGTTTAAAAGAACATTGAAAGAGCTTTCTCGAGAGTTTATTTACATGAGATTTAACACATTCTTGAAATTCGGGTCCCATCTGTTCTTCGATTTTGAATATGTAAATGTGTAAAATAATTAGGACAAGCTAGAAACATACATCGTTGAACTCGAGCGAGCATAGCCTATCTTTAGAAACTCATAATTTATCATTTTCTTACACAGCACGTACATGAATTAAATATTTATATATTAAATTAATTATTTCGATATATAGTATATGTTTCATAAAATTAAAAAATCTACTAAAGTACATTATTTAAGTGTAAGAGATAAATGATATTAAATATGAAGTTATTTGTGGTTTTATAGTATATTAAATTATTATTTCTATTATGACACAAATATTATTAAATTCATATTACAAAGCTCAGTGAAATTAAAGCTTTAAATTTAAGTAAAGCAAAATTACTTACTACGCCTTGTGTATAAAAATAGGCATACTTTATATCTAGTGCATGATATCTTGTGTTGAATCACAGCATTGGAATGATATATTGCCTGTAATGTAATATTGCGTGTTGTGTAATCTGTTTTTTTTATGCTACATTTGTTTGGCCGGAACTTTCAATACCTCACATCTATAATACTATTCAACTAAAAATTGCATATCCTGTGTAATGCATATCACAATGTAAAGTTAATCCAGTATGCTTAAGAAAATGTTGGAAGAAAGCGATTTTACTAGCGTTCTAGGCGTTGTCTTTCGCACCTATACGCCCGGTCTTTATTTGTTTTGTCGTAGGTAGGTCGCGGGTCGCATCGTGGTTCGTGGTAGGCAGCATGTCGAACTTCGGTCATAGGTACACTTATCGTCTATTGGGTGAACACATATACAGTTAAACGAACATATATACCAATACATATACGACACGTAGGACGTTCACGCATTCATGCATGCCAAATAAGGAAAAAAAGAAGCCGGGTGGGGCAGTCTCTGATGTAGACCGTAAAGGAGGGGCCCGCCGAATATAAGCTATCCGGATTGTGCTGTGGACCACACGAAATTTGGCTTCACCCTGAGTTCGTAGATCTATCGGTATCTACGAATCTCTCGTATCTCCTACGGACGCGTCGTGCCGCGATCAGATTTTGTAACACGTCTTGTGGAAACTGCAAGGGGTCATGAAGCTACTGCAGAAATTCTTGATCTTGACAACCGCGGTTGTTCTCACCGCCGGACAAAGCATTGACGAATGCTTGAAGCAAGATAGCATATCCTGCGTGCAGAAGACACTATACAGGACCGCTAAGGAATTCTTCACTAAAGATAAACTGGAGCTTGTGAACGGAGTCGGTCTCGTGAAGAGTAATGCCGATGCCAGATCTGGCAAGGAACTTGCTTACGATCAAGAGATGGAAGCTGCTAATGACATCGCGGAAAGACAGAACTCTCTCGAGAATTTCATTAGTGATGAAGCTGGACAGTTTTTGACCGGTCGCAGTCTTAGGGTACATAAAAAAAAACTACTGAAACTTGAAAACTATTACATAGAGTGTAGGCCTGGTCAACTTCGAGCTTTCCATCCACGAAGAGTGAAAGAAAGGGAGAAATGTCGTGGATCCGCAGTTTGAAGTTGGCCGGGCCTGGTGTGGGCAATTAATATAGCTTTGACGATTAATAAAGCTTTTCTTTCATTCTCTCACACTTAGAGGCACGGCATGGTTAAATTTAAACTATCAATTTTTTTCAGATCAATCTTGCATCTGCTTTCCAGAAAATCCACGAGTCAGCACGTACTATCAGCGAATCTGCTCCAGCAGAAATTCGTCAGGCTGTCGACGAGATTGTTGAAGGTAGCTCTAAATTAAGATTGATAGATATAATACTCATCTATATAATATCGATATATACTAGAACAAAATTAAATTGACAATTTACATCTTACAATTATTTGAACGAATAACTTAATTTTATTGGTTTTAATCTAATATATCTCTTTTAACATTCTAGCTCGAGGCAAGAAGAAGGGAGGTCTGAAAGCAATCCTGCCCCTCCTGATTGCCGCAAAAGTGAAGCTTGGTCTTTTAGGAGCTTTCGCGTACTTGGCAATTGGATTCTTAGCGAAGAAGGCGATCGAAGTGTCCTTCATTTCTCTTCTCATCTCTGCCTTCATCGCTTTGAAGACACTCTGGTCAGGCAAAACTTACCATCACGACGTCACCGCTTATAATAATGGCTGGTCAGGTTCCGTCGGCGGTGGATGGTCAGGTCCTGTCAGTGGTGGATGGTCCAATCCCGTATCCGGTGGATGGGCCAGCCCGGCCAGTGGTGGTTCTTCCGGTTGGGAAGATCCTCATTACGCGCACGGCCAGGCATACTCCGGATACCATCACTAGTGACCATCGTTGATAATTTTTTCTTTCGTCTCTTTTTTTCTTCTTTTTTTCATTGAACAACGGGCGATGGGAAAAACAGGATGTCAGCGGGAGTCACATGATTCAAGCCCTACGCTGATCCTCCATTGTTCACGATCATGGAAATATTTATTCTTATTTATTATTATTATTATTAAATAGTGAATAGGGTATTTGGCCCTTCCGTGATGTACATTAAATATTTAATAACATTCGCTCGCATATCCGTATGCAAATAGATCGATAAACTGTAATCAAACTGAAAGACTAGTCACAATATGTACGATTGGTGATGACGTAACTCTTGTCAATTACAAAACGCAATATTATATGTGTATATGTATATATGTATATATATATATATATATATATATATATATATATATATATATATATTACGATTTTACCATCGTGATTTTAGCGCGAGTTTTAGCGCGATCACAATCTGTAATAGAACTCACTCATCACAGTTGATTTATAGTTACATCTAGTCTAATACGATGTACATGCAACATATTAAGCTATATGCGAATTTGTACGCTTTGTAATATGTGATTCATTAATAGTATTTTAAAAATTCGAATGTGTTAATTATTAAAATCCCTTCTTTATTTCCACATTTCAAATTATCTAGTTCTTCTTTTCTACAAGATATTCTTTTCTGCAATACAACAGTGAAAGTGTTTCAATTTTGAAATTATAATCAATTTTGATTTAATTAACTCGAATAATTTAAAGAAGTTCTTGTTGATAATTGCTCTTATTTTTAATGCCGAATACGCAAATCACCGGCAAATGCATGAGCCAGCTGAGAAGCTTCAAAAAAGAGAAATCACCGCGACCGCGGCAGCGGCAACTTTCCAGTCTTCCAGGAAGGTCCGAAACATTCTTTTTTTTCTCACGAGCGAAACTCTTCGCGGCGGCCGCGTTGCATAAAGAGCACATTCGAAATCGTTAATACATCGCGAGTGTTCTGTTTCTTTGACGAGTCATCCGGTCGGCGGCCGCGGTCGCTCGAAACCGAGCCGACGAGATGGAAATGCCGGCTGACTCTCGGCATTCTCGTACGATTGCAGGGGAAAGTGCATGTCTCAGGTGCATCCGGGCAGAGCCGATTGTTTCCTCGATCCGTGGTAGCCGGAGGTCGAGGAGAGGTCGCGGCACATGTACATCACTCCTAATCGGGTCGAGAGGATAGGCATACAACACTAAATTTCTCGAGACGGATGTCCTTAAGTCCCACATAGAAGAAAAATAAATAGCTGGAAAGGAGGTTGAGACAAAATGACGCGTTTCTTCCTCGCGCTGCGCTAAAACTCCACTGGACGCAGTAAAAAGAATTTTACTTCGGCAATAGGTATATGTGCAGGTATAACATCATCTTTTCTAAAACGATACGATGCGGACACGCTACGACGGTGTGGACAGCGATAATTAATATAATGTAGAAAGGTGCGATTGATAAAATACGAATTATTTGTATGAGCAGCATATAAGAACGGCGCAAAGAGTAGCGATGCACTGGCTGTTGCAAAAAGGCGATTGTCATGCTTCGTTACGCTCCTCTGTAATAACAACGACCACGACATGGCTGCGGGAAGGACAACGGAGAAAAAGACGCGAAATTGCTTCGAGAGGAAGAGGAGTTACTTTCATTCATAATACAGCCGAGCGCAACGTAGTATCCTATATTATAATACCATTATGAACAAATGCTTTTTTCCTAACAAATTTTAAATTAAGAAAGTAATATACACAGTTGTGAAAATAAAATACAAAAATTTATATTATTAGTTAAGCTTCTTCATTATATGTAAGAGATATATCTGTTTTGGATTTAGTTTATTTAGATTCATAGATTCTTCATAATTACAATAACAGAAATCTATATTACCATATATTTGTACATCTTTAGTCATTTTTATTACGTGATAACTTATTTCAGTCATTTGATTAGAATTTTACTTCAGTTTTTTGTACGAAGTTATAAATATCTGCAGTACCTACATGAAAGAATTTAGAAGTAAAAAATAGTATTTCTTTCAATTATGTGATGTAAAATGCACAGTGCACAGAGCGAATTAAAAAAAAATCCTGAAAATTGCGACCCATGTTACGGATATGCAAACGGATGAATAGAATCGTTCTTCGAGCTCACAAAAGCGGAATTTCTCCGCGTTGATAGCGCTAAGCGTTGATCGTCTCATTATTAGAGAGTCGTAAAGTTCCGTGTCGATCGCGTCTTTTACTCGCATCTAAATCCAGGTATGGTTCTCACGTCACGATTAGTTTCGAGAGTTTCTCATGCGTCACTGGGTTACTAGATTTCCTAGTGATAGGTCGATTTCTTAGGTCATTATTAGATTCGCATATCGCCGTCAATTGGCATAGAACACCGATCTTTTTGTCATTTTGCATAGCAATTCAAACATTTCTCTTCAGCAACGTCGGCGAGACACTTAGCAATTTAAAACATTTTGAATAATTTATGTTATTGGTTATACTCTACTTGTTTAATGTTAGAAATATAATAAAAGTATATATTCATATATTATTTACATATTCTACTTATTTATAAGTCAAATCGTTCAATCTTCCAAATTTACGAGTCAAAATTTATTACGCTTTATCTACTTTCGTCTATCATTGCGTATCTAGATAATCTTAATTACAATATTCTCGCGCATGAGATAAATTTTATCCATAAAATGCACTTTTACTTGGCAGGTCAGACGGTCTACGATCTTGGTACATACCGGCAATGCAATTATAAGATGGTGTTACGTATGCATTCACTGGCTATATACATTGACTAAGATGTACCTGGTACCACCTTGAACTTAACCGAGTCGAGCGTCGCGATTTTGAGACAATCGCCGGGTGACCGTTACCTTTCCCGTGACTTTCAACAACTTACGGCCAGGGTCACGTAGTCGTACAGAATGGATATATCTGCTATAACGAAATCTAATTGCTGCTCTTGTGCTTAATTGCTTTCGGCGTCTGACTAATTAGTATCGCAGAAACGTCGCGATATTCGAGCCCGGTTTCTCTCATCACTTGTTCTCGACGCTCTCTTTAATTCGTGCTCACACAGCGTGGATCTCTCTTTCTGTCTCTCCCCTGCGGCATGCATGAGTCCTCAGGAACATTTAATGAAGCACTCCGCTTTCAGCGATTTCTTTGACGTTTTAGTGCAATCTAGAAATGAAAAAAGGGCCAATAATAGATATTTTAACTTAGCATTATTTAACGTAGCTATTTTAACTATAAACAGCGTTAAATATAATACTAAACACGGGTATGGACCCCATTGTTTACTCATTTATTAGATAGACGAATCATTATAAAAATTACGAGACTTTGTATTTATTTCTCCATCCAATTAAGTATTGAGAACGAGGGACATTTGCTTTTTTCTAAGGATATATGGGTGATTTCCTGTTTGACGTTTTGTTCATTTTGCTTGAAGCTTGATGTTTTAAAGAACTCGCCGGGTTACAGGCCGCGTCAGGTGTGTGATTTCGCTCAAGGCGACATTCGCTCTCGCGTACCGGGGGGATCTTGATCCCCGAGAGAAGTCGGGATCGAGAACATCGTTACAGTGAGAAAAAGTAAGAAAAAGAGAAAGAGCAAGAGAGACAGAGATAGAGGAAGGGGAGGCAAAAGACAGAGAGCAAGAGAGAGAAAGATACCAAAACGATTGCCCAACTCTCGACCCAGTTATAAATAGGTGAGCGACCTCGTTTCAGGGATGATATCTCGTGTTCATCATCTGCCGATGAATTTTCGAAGGTGGAGCAACATCACATCTGCAACAATTAAACGCCTTCTTGAGATGTTCTTCGTGTAGTTTTGTCCCTATCTGTATGCTTAAAGAGATCGCTATAAATCGCCACTTCCGACCAAAATTAAGCGATTAGATGGCGAGATAATTCCTATGACTAACTCACCATTGTAGTTAGGAAGGCTGCGTAAAGGAAGGAAAATAATTACAGTTTACCGTAAGCAACTAGTATCTAGATTCCTCGTGTTCTACATTGTGCTACTTAGTACTTAGTAGTGTGAATTAATCAAGCCAAAGTTATACGATATGAGTCATCAGTGGTCGCTAATGGACCTTGTAATCGCATCCGCCGACACTAGGTCTTCATCCTTGAGAGGTACATGCGACGCGCACCGTCTATCGAAACTATATGGCCTCCTTGAGTTGAAATATGTGGAGCGACCGAAGCGCTTCTGGTTATTTCAATAAACGAGGAGAAATATCGAGTAATTTATTTGAAGAGCCTCAGAATTTTGTTCCGTGAATTGCACACCGACGGACAATCATTGAGGAATCTCACAGTTGACCAGAACTTGTTGATTAGGCGATCTCGAATCAACGTCATTGCGACGTTACATATGGACTTCTGCGTACACGATGGTGGTGATTTAAGTCACACAACACTCAACGTCGTAAAATAATAGTAGGCGGGTGGTCGGGCGAAATGGTGCGGCAAATTATATAGGATCTACATATATACTTTTTTCCGTCGTCCTGAATGCCTGCAGGTTTCCGTCGCGTTGTACACGCGGCTTTCCTTCATCGTATTTGATTCCAATTGGTACCGGAGAGACTCCCCGCTGTTAATGTAATTCAAAGTAGGTCCATAGCGTGAGAATATGTCAGTAGAAAGAGTAGGCTGAGAAACACGAAGAAGAAGAGAAGATTGGCCAGAAGAATGCAATTCGAGAATACATGTTAATCCTGGCTAAAGAATACTGAATATATTTATCAAGATGCTCGATATAAGAATCTCTCTGTATTATATAGGTACTCTTTTTTCTCCAATTTTTTTTGATCGCATTTCTATCGTTGTTCCTCTTTCTCGCGCTTCGCTGATTTTTACCTTGCCAAAATAATCAGGATGACGAGAGGGAGGTGAATGAAAAGGGAGGAAGTCAGTGTGGGGAGATCCTGTGGCACCCGATACACTTGACGGAGTAAGAGAGAGAAAGGGGTGGGGGGGTAACGAGAGAGGAGCAGCGAAAGGAGGGAGACGAGAGAGCGTACGACGCGAATGCGGACCCCCGATGGCCTGCGAACCCACGAGGACTCCCCTCGTGCGATACTTCGGTATAAAAGCAAAGCAACCTCTTTTAGATGTAACACACGAGTCAGCATCGGCGCATCCTGGCGTGCTTGATTCGAACAACGCGCCTGCACGTTGGGGCACGGAAGAATCGAGAAACAAATTGCACGTGACGCACGCGACTTAAGGATATCTTCGGCGTCTTTTGTAGACGCGTAAAACGCGGTGAAGTCGCACTTGGGTGATAATGGCCAAACATTTCGTGACGTTATTGTGGGTGTCGGCGGCGTTGACCGCGACCCTGGCATTGCCGACCAGCGACAAGGCCAGCGGAAGTGAGAACGATCTGGTGGCGAGCATATACACCGATTGCCTGAAGAAAGAATCCATCAGCTGCATCAAATACAAAGTATTCACATTTGTCGACAAGATGCTGGCCGACAAAGAAGACATCACTCTATCCGAGGGCATCACCGTCGTAAAAACGTCCAACGCCGAGGGCGAGGGTGCGCCAAGGTTGGTTGTCATTCTGTGAGATCCCGAGATCGCGCTTATGCGAATTTAAACGTCGAACGTTTAACTCGAGAGAACGGTTACATTTATATTTGCATTTTTGGCAGATCTATCGAATCCAACGATTTGGATACGTTATTGTTTGATCGTCTTGGAAGATTCCTGAGGACGCATTCGGTCAAAGTTGATCTTAAGGGCAGCGATATTTTAGGAGCGATTGAGTCTGCCGGACGCAGTTTCGAGGACTTTAGCGACAATGCTGTCGAGAGCCGTGGAAAAAAGAGTGAGTATAGCACGTGTGATGAAACTTATATCTTAATACTTATGTAAAACCCTCGGTTTAGATGCGCTCGAACCGGTTAATACAGAACCGGTTACGATAGCATCTAATTATGTTTTATTGAGTTCGTTATTCGCGGAGGAATTTTGTTACGGTGATTTCTTACATTTGCCAAATAAAAGATCGCTTTAAAAACGAAACTAGCGTAGCAATCAAGTCGCTATGTGAGCCACACACACACACACACATGCGAAGTATTAGTCTCAATACATTTGCATTTATAAATGTCAACATTTTTAATTATTACCGTCTTTATTAAGTAATCTACACAATACGGGAAAAAATAAATTATTTTACACCAACTTATTTATGCAATCGTTTAGGACTAGGATATATATCTGATAATCAGATATACCAGAATTTCAAATTTGTTCTATCATATTTTTGTATGCAATTAAAGATTTTTATTGATATATGGTTTATATATATTATTATTAATATATAATATAAATAATATTTTTATTTTTTATTTTTTGTTATTGATTTGCATATTCTTCTGCTTTTAATAGAAATTTTGATAGAATTTTTAAAATTATACAAAGATACAATAGAAAAGAAAAAAAATAAATTTTTCGCATATCGAAGAGGTAATCAGGGTTCATCGGGACAACGTCAGCTGGAGTATGGGAGTTCTCTGCGTTCATTGCCGCCGTGTGAACAGCGACGATGACGACGAGGAACCCCATACCGGTCGCAGACGTTGACCCACTGAGGAACTGGTTCCGCTTCCCCTTGAACCTCGCAACGGAGGAGGAGAACACCGGTGATATTGAAAGGTTGAGAGAGAGATAGATAGAGAGCGGGAGAGATCCCGCCGCGCAAGATTTTTGACATACTTTCCATCCTGGTACTTCGCCTTGACCTTCGACTATTATTCCACTTTAAAAAACATTAACATCGATCTCCGTGATCGGCCGGCGTGACGTGATTTACAGAGGACTATTATTACCGGGCCTACAAAAGCTACAAATAATTTGCGAACAATTGACTTGCGTGCGCATTCGTATCTCTCGGCGCTAAATCATCTGTTTATCTATTTATGAATTGCTATTACTGTTACACAATGATTAATTCTACCGTGCGAATATTAACGATCAGTTTTCTACACAAATTAATTCGGGATTATATCACATCATTTGCAAATTTACATGTATTATCTTGCAATCATTATATTATCGTTATACATTTTTATTAAAACATTTTTTTGTCGCATTAATTTTATATTTTATTAGACTTACGGATTTTTAATCCCTAGTTGATACTATTTAAGAAATTATATTATTGTCTTCTAATGAAGTTTTCTTGTAACTGAGAATTTTTATATCTTCAATTGAGTCTAAATGCAAGATCAATTATAAATAAGCACACAAAGAGAATGTGGATTTTTACATAAATATCTTACTTGTTATATTATTTGTTATTTTCCATTCGTTCCGAAAACAAATATAAGCAGATACCGTGATAGTACATCTCATAATAGGATAATTGGCATCATAAAACGAAAAACGTAAACTCTCAAATATATCTGTTATTACATCTGACGATGTACTCAAATTCCCGTTCTCCACAGAAGTGTGAAAAGTGAGTAATGATAGTATTAAACTTCGCAGTTCGTATACTTACAATCCACGTTAGAGATAAATAGATGCTGTATATATGATTGTATATACCAATCTTTATTTTACACAAATCAAGTGTCTCGACAGGTTAATTTACGTTGATTATAATATTATAATTATTAACTTCTTACATGTCTATAGACATATAAAAAGTACAATTTTTTAAAAATCAGTGACATATTTTTAAGTGCTTATTATTCATTAAAGCAAGGCACAAGAGAAATAATCAAGATAAATATGAGGTTTCGAATCATATTTGCACGCACAATAAAACCAGGTTAAGAAGCTACTTGAAAATTATATTGATAAAAGCATCGAAATGAATATATATATCGCTTATTTCGATATAAAATTAAAATGCAAACATTTGGAACATTACAGAGAAAGCGCAGAAAATCTTGGGACCCTTGATGATGGCAATGGCCCTGAAAGCGGCCGCTTTATTGCCGCTGGCGCTCGGCGCGATTGCCTTGATTGCCGGCAAGGCTCTGCTCGTGGGCAAGATTGCTCTCGTGATTTCGGCTATCATTGGACTGAAGAAACTTCTCTCTCACCAAAAACACGTGACCTACGAGGTAGTGTCGCATCCGCATCACAGCAGCAGCCATGTTAGCCATGAAGACCATGGCGGTTACGGCGGCGGCGGCGGCGGCGGCGGTGACTTCGGTGGTGGTTACGGTAGCAGCGGACACGGATGGGCCAGAAGTCTACCGCAAGATGCTCATGAGATTGCCTATCGCGCTCACCAACCCCAACCACAAGCTTAATCGTACCATAGAAAGTTTTCTTCCCGCCTCTCGCTTCTTTTCCGTTTTCTGACGGAGAATCTGACAATTCTCTTCCCTTTCATTACACTCACGCCTACTTCACTCGCCGCGTTTCTCGTTGTTTCTTTCCTTTTTCCTTTCTTACCTAAGCTGTTGCTATGTATAATACCTAGTCTATCTCTTACTCCAGGAAAATATGCCTATTTATATAGCTATTTTCAGTTTAAAATCTCTTCAAATTTGCCTATTCTTTTTTTATGCTTATATGATCTCTCTTATATTCCAATTCTTTTTTTTCTTATTTTTCTACTTTTTTTCTAATTTATCCTAAATAATGGTCGATTTATCCCACGGCCAGTCACCAGTACCTCTGGGAGATGCTCATTGTTTTATATTATCTAGATTTATATGTGAGTTATATTTATTCGTTGTATCTTATACTATTAATATTTATTTGATGTTTGACTGCGTGCTTCCATTATGACACCTCCTGTTTTTTTGTAATAAAAAAAAACCGACAAATGAGACGACTCCATCTTGTCCCAAAGAAAAAGAGCTTCATTGTTAAGTTCACCTGCAGCGTTCACCGGCCGAAGAAACCGGCACGTCCTGTGGCTCTCGTAAGAGTGACCGTGGTTCATGACCGAGTGCTTCTATTTATACATAACACTGCACTTGCACTCGTAGCCGTAAGCGTAACGTAAGGCCGTGAAATACGGTCTATTGAACTCATAGCGCACAATCATGTACCGGATGCACCGCTGAACCACATTTTCCATACATAAATAGATATACAATAAAAATAGGATAAAGTTCACGAGCACGGGCGAAAGTAGTCGAAGAATGCGCGGCACAGACACTCTATTGCACCGGAATACAAATCGTATAATTCCTTTTCAGGATCATGAGCGATTTATTTAAACGTAGATTTACGGTATATGCAGAAATATATATTTATATATATTTCTTTGCCGCGCTCTCTCTTCTCTGTTCTCTGTTCTCTCTTTTCTCTTCTCTCTCCTCTCTCCTCTCTTCTCTCTCCTCTCTTCTCTCTTCTCTCTTCTCTCTTCTCTCTTCTTTCTTCTCTCTTAAGATGTAACTTATTTTACTGCAAGAAAAATAAATTAATATATAATATATTAGTAAATTAATAAATATTATACATTAATAAATTAATATATATATATACACAGGAATAAAATATAGAGCATCGTGAGCTGGATCAATGTCAGAGATATTCGTTTCCATGTGATGTAAATGCCACTAATTTGACTTATTATTAGTTCCACGAGAATTAGTTCTACGATAATTAAAAAAAAAAAAAAAACGTCTGCAAATATCTTAGGTAAGATTTATCTGGACTTTTCACCGATTCATAGCTACAGCGAGACAATGTGTCATAATCACAATAAATATCCACGATATTTAACTCAACCTAGTAATTGCCCTCCAAAACCGGACGCACGCGCCGCCAGGTACAACTAGTAACCTGCATACCGCGAATAATGTTGCTCTGTTGCTCTTTCCGTTGCTACCGGAGTGGCCTTAAGGAAGAAAAAGGATGTACAATAACGACAGTTTCATCGGCCGAGCAGCCACGCGTATCGGGCCGGTCGAGAAAATCACCGTACGACGAAACGGTTGTACAAAATGGAATTCAGAGCCGCGGCTCGATGGGGTTCGTTCCGCGAACCGGAAACGGCACGGCGCGGCGCGGCGGAGGCACGATTATTATTTCGCGTCTCATCGTGGCGTCCTAATACAAGATCCGTCGCTTTCGCCATGCCGCGCCGCGCCGTCGGGAGATCATTTTCACGGCACGTACGCGTATGAGAAATCGGTAACGCGACATTATGCAGGTAAGTTCCGGCAGCATCGTAGTCGCGTGGACTTGTGGACGACGACGCGACGCGGCGGGGAGTAAGCCGCGAGAGGAGAAGAAACGTCTCCTTTGCATCCGTTACCTGGTCGCGATGCTTTCTTGAATAGCACGTGCGCTTCAATGAAAACGTCATGCACTGGCAGTTTTAAGGCTATATTAACGAAGGCGAAGAGGCTGATACGCTAAGCATACTGTACATATTTTAATAATATAATTGTACGATAGACGATACAAGTTATTTCGCTTTTTTTCCTCACGCGATGGTGATCTCTGTTTCGTTTTTTTTTTCCTCGCTGAAACGCCGATGGTCTAAGCGTATCTACATGCAACGCGTTTTCACTTGGTATGACCCAGTTAAAGCCGTGTCTATTGGCGTATATCGAATTGGATAGGATGAAAAGTCAAGGATACGAGGGACCAAGTGGAAGAGAATGAAGCATCGTGCAAATTAGATGATTAATCGGATGAAGAAATTGTGCCTAACACGCATAACGGTATACGTTAATTTGCCGATTCATCGTTTCTCTTTTTCGATGACATGATTATGTTGATCCGTAAAGGGAAATGTTTGTTGGATCTTCCATTGAAAAGTGGAACGTATTGTCACCTTGATTTAATAGCTGAACCAGAGAACCACAATGCTGCCAGTATAACTGTGCGTCCAATACTTGAGAAGTAATGAGAAATGCAGTTATATCCAATCGCACACATGTGATGATGATAATTTTGTGTGGTAATTTTTTGTATAGTATCGATAGTAACTTTAAACTGTCTCGATCGATATTTAGAAAAGTTTTTCACGACCTTTCAGACGTACATTTTCAAGTATTTTGGAAGCGTGTCTTTTCTGTCTGAAGCTTATTCGTAATCTGATAAGTATTGCCGCTAAATTCCACCGTAAATAAATTAAGATAGCCTAGAAAGAAACAGTTGGAGCAACGGATTCCTAAAAATTATCTTGCCATCTCAGTTTAACGAACGATTTTATAGTATCATAAACGGGAGAGAATAATCTATGGGCATGTAGCCCCGTGCCAATAACACACTTTATATTTTATTGCGCTTCCTGCTTATCAAATATATCAATGACCGTGAACGTCAAAGTGCTTTCTATTGTACATCCGCGATGTACAATATTATTTCGTCTTCAGCAGCTGGTATCTCGTGTTTTCGACGGCGGATCATTCCGAGGTGCGCCTTTCATTTTCAATCTTGTTCTTATGCCTCCACGAACTCGAGCGGTGACGAGAAATTAGAGCCGAGGAACAACAGCGGGAGCATCGAACCGAATCGACTGGCAGCCGATGCGTATGTAGCGGCGCCGCCCACGCACAAGAGGGACAACGGAATAACGATACGGACGAAATGCGGTTAAACCGGTCGAATTAAATCGGCGAGATACCAACGCGAGATGCGAGCGGGGTGGAGGACAATGAAGAAGAAAAAGAAGAAGAAGCCCGCGGAGAGGAAGCATGGCGGCAAAACTGTGGTGGAACCACTCGGATGCGTCCGACGTGTCGTTGGTGGGAGGCAAATCCGGAGGGAGAGCTTGAGAGATCATGACGCGCGTACCGGTGGAATTCTGCTCTCTACTCTCGTCTCCCGGGTGGTTGGTTTAAACGCAAAAGCAACCGCTCTCAAATCAATGTCCGCGAACATGAAAATAGTCGCGCAATGGTGGTGTACACCGATGCCAACCGGGTGGGGAGAATATCGCTCGGTACGGAGGTATACCTGGCTAGATATATAGAGCTAGGGCAGGGCTTCCGTTACGTACAGTCTACTTAGAGTGCTCTCAGCTATACACGCATCTCGTGGTGGCACGCATCGTGTTAAATTAAATAGAAGTCGGTAGCCCTGTGGACGCAGCCGGATAGCCGAGGGAGAAGCGAAGGACGAGACGTTTGATTTTTGTATCGAGCCGCGTGGAAGGTACAGTGCTTGATTGGGACTTGCGCGGCTTAATTCGAACCTTCGGCGATCGCATTAAGTGTTGTCTATAAGAAGGTCTTATAGACCTGTGATATATACGGGAAGCATATATGAAATTTCAAAAATGTATCCTAATTGATTCAGATAGATAACACAAAAGTGATTGGATTATTCGAAGAATATCATGATTCTGGATAGAAATTATGTTTTGAGATATATTATGCGGCATGAAGTGCTTTTAATTTTAAGGAAATTAACATTTTTCTACGTTTACCAAATTTCATAAACTTTAATTAATTTTAATTTAACAATATAATTAATTGTGATATAAATAATCATTTTTATAATTTAGAATTTAAAACTATATTGAAAAATTATTTGTGCTTACACACATACACACACGCACACACAAAATTAAGTAATTGTTTCATTTTTTATTAATTGATTTATTTATTAATTGCCTAACAGAGTTAGAGTTGTCTTGATTCCATATTATTTAATTATGAATCATATTATTGGTGTGTTAATTTATTGTTATAAAAGCAAATGTTGAATCGATTTCTTTTATAGATTTTTCTTCACTTTGAAAAATGAAACGGTTCGCGCGCTGTTACGTATGCCTGGCTGTATTATTGACAGCGGTCTCTGCGAGATCGGCCGAAACTAATCCCACGTCTAACTCAATCAACGAGCAACAAACCGCAAGATCGAATAGCAATGGCATATTTGGCGACTTACGTTACGTCTATCAAGTATACAAGGAATGTTCCGACACGGAACTGAGTCCTTGCCTGAAGCTGAAGCTCTTATCGGCTATAGATAGGGTTTCTCGGAGCGCTCAATTGAATGTGGCTGATGGCGTCACTCTGGTTCAAGATGAATCGGCTGCTAACGAATCCGAACCGGAAAAATCTCTGCAGGAAATCGAAGCCAGTTTACCCCGAGCATTGGAAGATAAAGAGGATGCTCTCAATGGCATGATTTTCGATAAAGTCGCCAAATTTTTTCAGAGTCACACTCTGAAGCTGAAGTTACCAAACGTAGAGGAACTTCAACGTAGTTTCACGGAAGAAGGTATATAGGAAGACACCGTTAATAAAGTTATTCAACGAAAATTATTTATTAATAATAAAATATGAAAAGTTTAATTACTTGATTAATTAGATATTCTTGCACTATTTTCGATAAATGTATGTTGAATATAATTGCAATTTAAATCTTTATTATGAAGAAATTAATTTAAATCTAAAATTAATTGTTTGTTATAATTCCATTATTTTATTGTTCGTTAAACACATATAGATTTCTTCCGTCAGATTGTAATTACATTTTCTTCTCTATGTCTAGGTCGTAAGAAGAAAAATAAAATGGGTGGTCTTCTCGCTATTCCTCTGTTAATTGGTGGTACGTTAGTACCCCTGGCGCTCGGTGCTCTCGCGCTGTTGGCTGGCAAAGCGCTGATAGTGAGCAAACTTGCGCTCGTACTCGCTTCTATTATTGGATTAAAGAAACTTGTGTCTGGCGGCCACGATCACGGACACGAAGTTGTTCAAGTCGGGGGAGGACATGCATCGGGCGGATGGGCGAGATCGGGACATGATATCGCCTACTCTGCATACAAACCATTGTCAGCATAGGAAAAAAATTTATAAACGTTATCATAGCATCTCTTTAATCACGTCGCTATTTCCTCTCGCGAAATTTCCTTTTCTTTCTTCACATAATTTTTATTTATTTCCATTTTGCGAATAATTCTTTCCAAACTGTTCGCGAAACTCTCATATCTGTCTGATCTCTCTTTTCACTGTCTCCTATCCAATTGTGTTCACTCTAGGTCGTCGCACGTACGAGGCCACTCATGCACGGATCATCTTCGGTATTTATTGTTTCACGCGTAGCTGCAATACGCTCGCTGTCATATAACATGTACATTTATTAATGCGCAAATAAATTAAGACTATATAATAATTATCGAACACAACCGTGTACCCGTTTTATTTTCTCATTTCACTTCCTGTCGATAAATTCTTGCATTCCTTGAATGAAATCTGCATATGCGTGACTGAATATTCCGAAATCATCTTACTGTGTTAGTTCGATCGTAATCTTATATTTTTGCGCTGCTCGTTGGAATTCCGGTATCGTCTTTTCGCCGATTGCGAGATGTTTAAAATTCAGGTGAAACTAACGGATGTCGACGATACGCCAAAATCGTAGAATAGCGAGGAGAAAGAGCAACGAGCGAGAGAGAGCGAAATACGTTAAAAAGAACACGAGTGAGATGGATGCGAGGAAACGATGGGGATGAGGCGTGTAAAAGAACTGGAGCCTGACCGACTGATGGCTCATCGATTCGGGACTCGATCGAAAGTAAGAGAACTCAATGCGCCAGACGCGATGGAAGATGAAGGAGTGGGCGAGGGAATATTGGAGGTGAAAAGCGCCGAGACAAATACGTGAGATAGAGAAAGGCTTTTATAGCATAGGCCGAGTACGCGATGAGTTGTCTATCTGAATGACGGTTTAGCATCTTGATGCGAGCAACTGACGTCTCCGAGTCTCCGGTTGTTTCTCCGAGAAGAATAGAGAAAGATCGTCGGGATAGCGAGCAGTAGAATAGGACATAGGTACGTAGAGGGACCGAGAGAAGGAACGGCATCACCTACATACGAGAAACGCATGAATAAAACCTGACGTATCCACACAAACGCGTATCTATCCTTACGCACTTGTTCGATTCGCGTTTTGTTCGCGGCGGTCATCGTACACGTATTCGAGCGTGTGAACGTATGCGTGCACGCTCACGAGAGAGTCCTGCGTGTACGTAAGATGTACACGCGAGGACCAGTCGGTGGACACACACTTGGGAAGTAAACCAGGCCGAGCAGACTGATCGGGCCAGTCAGCATCCGCGCTGAGTCTTTTCAAGGTGCGCCTAACACTCTCTACCATACCGGAGAAAAAGTCGAGACCTGGTCCCCCGATTCTCCCCGGTACTCCGCGAGTCCATGTCTCTCTCTCTCTCTCTCTCTCTCTCTCTCTCTCTCTCTCTCTCTCTCACTCTTATATTTTTATATATATATTCTATGTTCTTGTCAATCGACTTCTCTGTCTCTCGCCCAAACTCGAAGTTTCGTCGATTTTCAAGAACGCATCTCTGGCCAGGTGGTCCCGTTTCTGATACGCGTGTCGGCAGGGCTCTTCCATATTCGAGTTCCGAAAGTCTTCTCGATGAATCGGGATTCAGAATCCTTCATTTCTTTTTCCTTATTTTCCTGGATACGACACACGTCGCTATTTTAATACTGCGTTTATGCATTCGAAGTAAGACTGTCTCTGTCAATTCGTCTCATTGTCAGTACTCATCGTGGTGTTCGTAGAAATTGCAAACATTAGTACCGAACAGCGATATAAAATAGGTTGAAGAGCTGACTAGAAGAGTGCCCTATGTAGGTCATACGCGGGAATTAGCACTAACTGAGTTTACATTAAGCACAAATTTATTCTCGTGAAAGTACTAATATCGCTACTTTCTTCGGCGACGAGTAAACAAATTAGAACTCTGCGCGGAGAATACCCGTATTTGCGGTATCGCGCGCGCTGTTATTACAAAGTGGCTATTAACCACTCATCTGCTTACCGACTGTTTGCATCTCGGCGGGTGTATCATTTCAATGACTAACTCCCGTTCATTCATCTTTGCGGCTTCATTTCTTTTTTAGTAGTCCACCGTGTTTGCTCTAAATGAATCATAGAGAGAGAGAGAGAGAGAGAGAGGAGCTAATTGCTAGGCAAAAAACTATAGAATCGCATGCAAGTGCAAATGAGAAAGAAAAGAGGCGAAAAAGAAAGGTAACAACTTTCGTTTCGTTCATTCACGCGTGCTTCCAGCGTGTAAGGTGCGAATCTTTTTTTTTCTTTTTCTTTCATATCCCACTTCGCGCTCCCAACGGTATCTACGGAGGAAAGCAAGACGGATCAATACTACGGTTTTACTAACCCGCATAGCGACATATAACGCATATAATAACTGCACAAAATTACGTACTTTTATACACGTTTCACTTATCTTTCGCATCATCATATCTAAAAAAAAAGATGTACGCTCTAATGATTTCGAGAATCGATGGATATATTATTATATATAAACGAAGAAACGAGTTTCATCATATGTAGTAAAAAACGTTTTCTTCTTTCTTTTATTGCGGTATCATTCTATTTTATTGTTTTTTTATCGTTTCGATGGTTTTGAACGTTTCGTAATCAGCTCACGAACGAACAGACGGAACAGGGATAGGTGGTATAGGACGAGGCATGGGAAGAAACAGGACAAACAGGAGAGCGAGAACTCTCAGGTACGAAGGCTTCACTTCGTGGGGGCCTTGACCTGACCTCGATCTTCGGACGAGTTCACTCTCGCCGGCGTCGAGAGGAAAGTGTTCCACCACCAAGAGTGCGCATGACTGCCACCCGGCTCGATGTACCATCCAGATTAGCGTTTTAGCTCGCGATGCTATGTACAAGTTAATTTGCTGTACATAATACAGATGTGTAACGCAATGGACGGCGGAACTTTCAGATTTGTCTGCTGATCGTAATCGGGGAACATTTGACTGCGATAGAGCAACGGAATCTCCAATGCGCAAGGAGAATAAACGTTTCTCGTGCGAGACGCGGGAAAAAAAAGTTGCGAGAACAAAGTGAAAGTTCCATGAGATCCATTGTATATTATGTATCCTGCTTCGTCGCGAGGAGGTCGCGAATAATGTTAACTGAGAGAAAGAAAAAGAGCATTAATATTTTAGAGCAATGAAATATATAGAAATAATTAATATTTACGTTGTTTTTACATTACAACATTATTTATCCTAAATTGTATGTATCGTTATAAACTAGATATTTAAAATTTCTTTCGATTTTCATATTTATATATTCTTAGAATAATATATGTATCCATGTCCAAATTCCATGTAAATCCATCCAATCCATTAAAAAACTTATGCTAATTAAAATTTAAAATATGACATCCAAAAAATGTAAAATATTTTAAATACAGATGATATGGAAAGAAAATATTTGAAGAATGCTTTAAAAGTTCCTGAAAACGTTTTGATTTTAAATATCTTTTAGATATTTTTTAGATTTTAATGTGATTATTGGAAACTTGATTTTTAGACGAAGATTTAACATCATTCATTTAAATAGCTCGTCGTGTGTTAAAATACCGTTTCGTGTAGGCAAATTCTTCGAATTTCATGACTTCGTGAGAACGTGAGCTGGACCGACCATTGCAGAGATTCGCTTGACCATCTTCGAACTTGAACACTTGAAGCGCGGAGAAAGTTAGCCGCACATCCGAATTCCTCGTGCACGGATATACCGGCAGCGATGAAATACTTTTGGGTATGTCTCCTCCCTTTTTCCATCTTTTTTTCTAGACAAGAAGCCTTCGGGTCACAGTGACGCGAGACGAGGCGAGACGAGGCGGGGCGAAGCGTGGCGAGACGCGGCGAGGCGCGGCTTGTCCTCCTGGAGGAAACCTCTGGCTTGAGCCCAACTCACACACATGATCGAACCACAGTGATGCGTGCACGCACATTCCATTTGAAAAACCGTTAAATGTTCCGTGCGACAGAGTCACACGGAATACATTAATTTCAAAGATCATTAACTAGTTATCTTATTGGTACCATCCAAAAGATGACCTTAAATCATGTGTTTAAGTCGTAGGATTAATACGACGAATAGGACAGAAGACAAGGAAAAGAAGACAAATGGGGAGGCGGATAAGCGGAGTGCAGTGGAGAATCGAGAGGAATGCAGGATCACAAGACACAAAATCCAAAAGTAACTGTTATCAGTAAAAATCAAAGCATGTTATTAGAAAATATAAATAAAATTAGACTAAAAAATGTAACTCCAGGGAAGCGCGAGGGAGCTTCGGCAATCGAGGAACGTTAGGGATATCACAATTCCAAATAATAATGAATCGCGCGACGCGACGTCTGTACTGTCGATTGCAAGACCATGATAGGCTCGTATAAAGTTATAAGCACGTTGGAAAGTTGTGGAGGTGTACGCGAGCGAAGTATCATCTACTTGATATTATAGTATAGAAGTATCCGGTGTAATATACTTTGACGAAAGCGAAATCATAAGCTAACTTATCGCGAGTGCTTGGTCAAATATATAACTGCTACTTCTCTATTAGCATAATATGAGATCTTTTGCAAATGGTGTCACGAAATTTCTCGAAATAAAAATAGTGTTAATTGCAGATTCTAAAACAAATCGCTTTTTTTTTATTTAAACGCAAGTGGAAGTGCACAATCACAAAAGAGACACAATTTGATAATAAATTGAATATGAACAGTCTCCTTATTCTGTCCTAGAAACTAATTATGACAAGTGACTCAATTCGGCAAGTCATCTCAAGAGTCATCCGGAGAGAAGACTACGCCAAATAACTTATGCTACCGCAGATAATTCATCTTTAATGCATAGCACATTGCACATGTGTCTCTTTGAAAGTTCTGACAAGTAGGCAATTCCTGTCGCAGCTGCTGTATCTTCACCATTGCATTTAGCAGGTAAAAAACAGGACGTAACACCTAAATCTTTCGCGAGAGTAGCCTCGCGTAAATTTCCATAGTTATTTGCATAGCGGCTAGCGCGAAATCGCTAAATAAATAAGAATCGCAATCAGTGGCACACCGGTGAATGATAACGCGCGACGACGTCGAACAAGTCCGCTTTCTTATATTCGTTTTTAATCTAAATTCCCAAAGGATACCCGCATTCCTTCTACCATTAGTCTCGGTACGTTCAGTGTCTTTGACTCGTGCCGAAATGTCTCCCTCGATTCGATCGTGGTCCGATCTTGGTGGTTCGGAGGAAGAGGCCAGTGCGTAGGTACACATCATCTTTCTCTCGTTTTCTCGTTTTCTCTCTCTCTCTTTCTCTTCTTTTTTCCTCGTCCTCTTCCCCTTGCGTTCTTGCGAATGTGCGCCTGTATGCGCATTACGCACACGTATGGGGCGGGTTTGTCGACAACCAACACACCCGTTGTGTACACAAACGACTTAAGTAGGCACACAGGCACACGGAGAGGAGAGCCGGTGGAGAAGGACCAGCAGTGTGGAGGCGCGTCAACGAGAGACGCATACGACACAAACGGAACGACCGCCTGGAGGAGAACCAATAGCTCGTATGGGTTGTAACCCGGCGGCAGGCGGGGGCCATCCGGTGGGGGCCATCAAAATTTCAAAAACGTACGCGGGCCCCTTTCGCGACGAGGATAAAAGGCAGCAATCGTGATTCTTTCGGGCAGTGTCGATACGATCGCCGTACTCGTTCGAGCGTTCACGTGCGAGAAAAAAAGGGAGTCGAAGTCGCAACGTCGAGGAAGCGCGAGGAAGAGAAGGAGAAGAAGTGAAGAGAAGTTTTGAGAAGTTGGAGTAATTAACTCGAGATTTGGTGTTTCCCTCGCTGTTCGGAAGAATCCGTCAAAATGTTCAAATTCGCGGTAGTCGGCGCACTTTTCGTGGTATCCGCTCTCGCTGCACCGGCGTCACAGGACGCGCCGGCGGCGGCGGCGCCGCCACCCTCGATCCTCGAGGAAGCCCTCGACGTATACGCTTCCTGTTCCGAGGAATCGAGTATCGCGGTGTGTCTCAAGATGAAGGCCCTGCGCTACGTCGACCGTGCCGCTCGCTCGGCCGACATCGAAGTCATTGACGGATTCAAGATCGTGCAGACCGAGGAGGCCAAGAATAGGTAAGAGAGACAGGATTTACTCGAGATAGTGATCGGTATGTCCTACGATGATAGTCGACATTGAGTGCAATTGGGACGTGAGAATGCAGCAGGTGATTCGTGTAGTGAACGCGTAAAGTCATATACAAAATATATCGTATTTCTTAAATATCGTCTATTGTATTTTCGTATTAAGTTAAAGTGTATAAAATTATTTACATAGTATAAGATAAAAAATATATATCACTGTTTCGTTACCAAACTTAGCTTGATTAATTATTTCATTACTTGTAATATTTGATAATTTTGATATTCAAATTCACTTTGAATATAATCAGAATTAGAGAAAGAAAAAGAGACGAAAAGAGCAAAAACTCGTAAATTGATTGTCCAATAAACTATTTGAGAGAATCAATTCTTTACTCTCACTTAATTACTCTGTAATCAACGAACTCTTGAATGCTACTTGATTCTATTTGACTCTACAACGTCCGGTTGTCGTAAAATTAGCATAGAAAGTTGTTAACGGACATTAAGATAGCTCGAAGCGTTTATGCAGATATAACGATCATGATAAGAGCATGTTTCTTTCTTTTCAGCCGAGCTGACAATGCAAGGTCTCTTAATGACATTGAAAGTACTTTACCTGCTGAGACCGAAGCCAAAGAAGCCGCAATTGATCAGGCTATTGTCGATAGAGCCTCCAAATTCTTATCCACGCATACTGTTGAGTTGAGCCTCCCCGAAGACGTTTCCCGTTCTTTTGATGAAGGTAAAATTTAATTTTAACTGATATTTAATTAAAAAAAAAAGAGAGAAGAATATCTTTGAAGTTTTAAAGTTATTTCCGTATATTTTCTAGACAGCAATAACATGTCGCTTGTATAACATTTGGAAATTTAATATAATATATATAAATGAAAAAAATTTGGATATGTCACAAATTATAGCCTTTCAAGAAAAATTGGAGGGTTTACGTTTCGGAATTATGTTTCAGCTCGTGGAAAGAAGAAGAAGATCGCCAAAACTCTGTTGCCCATCCTTCTTCTCCTGAAACTGAAAGCTGCTGCCCTTATCCCTATTGTTCTTGGTGGTTTGGCTTTGGTAGCTTTCAAAGCCCTCATCGTCGGCAAGATTGCTCTCATCATCAGCTTGATCCTCGGCCTGCAAAAACTGCTCGCTTACAAGAATCAGAGCTACGAAGTTGTCGCTCATCCCGTTCATGATTATGGACACGATGTGCACCACGACCATCACGGCTGGGCGAGATCATCGGCCGGTTCTGATCTCGCGTACAAAGCTTATAAACCTACCGAATAGTTAAAAATTATGCACAACTTCTCTTCCTTCTAATTTTCTACCTTCATTCGCCAAAGTGATCGTCTCTAATCCGACGATCACCTGAGAGTGGCGTGGCTTATCTTCTCAGGGATCCGCGGACAAGCTCAACTCGACAACGAAGACGTTTGTCTTACGACGCATACGAACGACTATATTGAACGACAATTCTGTATGGACGGGCAAACGACTGTTAGACACGGACGGTTACTGGATTTTGTGCGGACTGGATTTAACGGTACACGACTCGACGACTCCGACGACGATGCCGCAGTCGACGATCGATAGGGATGCTACGATCGCCGTGGTTCGATGTATATTCCGGCAAATCTCGACGACGAAACTTATCACTTTACTGACAACGACGAAAGGCTATACACTCAGAGATTATGAGAATCTCAAAAGACTCTCATGACAGAATAGTGGAATCCTGTCAGAATGGTAGAAGTCGCGCCCTTTCGATCATACTCGTGCGGTATCCTTTCAGAATCCTCCGTGTCTATCGTATGCGGAACGACTCGTAGTCAGTACTCGCACGAGACCACCAGATTTAATCCAATGATTATTTATATATCGATCACCCCGTTTTGGGATCATGTAACTTATCATATTATTTATAAATAAATTGTAATTTTTGTATAATATTAAAAGTTGACTACTTTATTTTTCCTCAAATATTTGTTCCATTATCCTTTACTACGACTAATACGAATTACGCCTAATATAAGATTGTTTTGATATGAGAATGCCTGAAATAAAAATATAGCGATAAACTATATATATGCGATTTATATACATAACTTTACATCGGAGTCAAAAACAATGTTGAAATAGGATGTTTAAAATTAACAGAGACAATATCATGCAAAAAACGAGAGAAAGATTTTTAAATATGCTATTCAAAAACTCAATCCAATATATATCTTTGCCTGAACGTCTTAAGTGGATGATATCCTTAGATCTCGTTTGTTCCAGATTTGCGCAAATTCGGCAATTATATCCGCGCTACTTGCGTTCCCAATTTTTCTTGCTCCGCTGTCAGGCCTGTCTCATCAATTTGACTATATAACGATCTTTCCGACACTCCATTCTTCGACCAAAGGAAATTACCCTTCTCAGTGCATCCGGTGTATCGACCAAGCGCCAGGCGCACGAAATACAAACGAAGTATACTTTCGCTACTTGTAAAATCCGCCGAGTGAAACCAATTGTTCTGTCGTGTGTGAATGCCCCCTTGTCGCCTATATAGGTGGGTGATCGTAGGAACAGCGTGAACAGTATTTTACGAGAACTTCATTACTCTGCATCTCCTCTGTGCGATAGAATTCTCTGTTACAATTTTGAAAAAAAATTTTCTAAACAAAATTATGACAGTTCGTATATGTGAAAAGCGTGCTACAAGCCAAAATTTCTTTAAGCGCCCGTTATCTTCTAGTGTGGATTATTTCTTGTGCTTGCCATCTCGGAATAAATTAAAATAAAAAGACTACGTGAAAGTTTTCATAAACCTTCCGTAATTTTGTTCAATTTATTTTGAGTCTTATCAATCCGATGTTCAATTTAATCTAAACACGTTTGTATGACGTGAAGGATCGATTAAAGTCAGTGATTCAAAGATGAAAAGCGAACTCCGTTATTTATGTCTGCTTGTTCTCGTGTCTACGAGTTTTACAGTGATTATGGAATCTAAGGAGCATATCACTCTGGATGATGGACATTCTTATAGCTTCAATGAAGCTTTCGGTGTATGTCTCGCGAAGAAAGAACACGGTACATTCGAATGCGTAAATCGTGGTATTCTAAGTGCCTTGCAATCTTTAAACGACAAGGAGAGCTTGGAGTTTGGAAAGATGCGACTGGACAGATCGGAGGGCTACGGCAGAGATCTTCTGGATCTGGACTACGATCCGAAAGATTTTGGAAATGTCGTGAAAGCAGCTACCAGATTGATGGAACGTCGTAATATTAAGTGGAATCTGGATAATATATATCCGGGATTACAGATGCGCATCGGACCAATGCTGAACGGAAACGGGATACTGGAATTTGTTCTTAATGAAAGAGCTGCTTCTTACGGCGATAGGCAGATTGGTACAGGTAAGCTATAATGTTGATTCTGCAAAATTAATCGCGCATTTTGACTTTAGTTATCATCTTTCAATTCATAGACAATATAAAAAGGAGTTTTTTTTAAATACATATACAAACTGTTGCTCTACTGTAAAACCTAATGATAGAACATTTTTACAATATCGTAAATTTTACAAGTATTTCTTATATGTACACATATGTGTTCTTTATTAATAAATTGTGCAAATAATCTAATGTAAGAATTACATGTGATTGTTACAAATTGTTTATGAAAGAATGATTACATAAACGAATAAAATTACGAAGTGCTTACTTCAAAAGATTGTTGCTTGTTACACGCAGAATTACCCGCGTTTTCTTAGCGCGGAATCAAACCTCATGCTGGTTCTTGTACTGGCTAAGATGTTCCAACCGGTTTCAAGAACGTCCTCCAGTAGGCAGCACGGTCAAGGCAACGGAACCGGTTGTAAATTCAAGGTCAAATTCTATCATTTCAGGAAGGCAGTTGACCAGACACATATTACTGCCATTTCTATTGGGTTTCAAATTCAATATGGCATCCCTGATCCCACTTATGTTCGGTTTCCTGTTAATCGTGACCAAGAAGGCTCTTTTATTGACGAAGACGGCATTGTTTCTGATCAGTCTTTTAGGATGGAATACGCTCTTTTCCGGAGCACCTGCAGCACCTCCTTATTCGGCGAACGCGTTCAATGGCTTCCATGCTTACGGACACGAGACACCTGCTGGTGTATACACCCATCACGATCATCATTTTCCGCAGCGACCTTACAGACCGCTGCATGACTATAGTCCTTATGATCAGCATGTTATTAGGGAAGTCGTCAATGTTTACGAAGGAAATAGCGATTCGGGACAGAATAGACAAAATGTAAAGAATATTGTTTTTGACTCATAATAAATAATTAATTGATAGTATAGCTTAAAATATATCGATAAAAGTTTTAATAAATCATTAGTATAAAATCATGACCAAAGAATGTTTATTTCTTCCGGATTTAAGTTTAGTTTACTGTCTTTCCAACAATTTATTTAATTATTTCTAAAATATAAAAATATCAACTTATATTTTATCAACTTTTGTTATTTAAGGACAAGATTCTTAAGAATTTAAAAGTTATTTTTTAAAACAACAGTTCTTTACAGTATCGTGTACAAATATTACAATTATACAATTTTTATATTTGTTATATGCATCAATTGATTATTAAATGGATAGTTTGATATAAAAGTTTAATTTTAAGTAAGATGCATTTTATTTTTTCTATATATATTTATCCTTAAATATTTACAGTAAACGCGTTATATAATTTCTTAGATAATATTTTCTTATCAATATTGATTTATTATAATCTATATTATTAAACGGTATTAAGTAATCTGTCGGAAATAAACATAGTAAGAAATGTATAGTATTTATTAGAATATAGTACCTATTTTTAATTTTATTTACTTTTGACATTAATTTTTTTTCTATTTCGTTACATTATTATATCATACGCAATCTTTATCAGTACAATTAATGTTGAAATGAACCTAATAGATCGAAAGAGAAGAGATATTTTATGCCGATAGAACGACTATTATTTCTTCGTCTGGATTGTGTAATAATGTTTTTATTTATGAGTTTACTTTCAAGTTCAGTTTCAAGTATCTGTCCATTAGTATAAAGAATTGTCACTGAGATTCTGATGTTTTCACTTAGCGATCCCATTAGTCTCAGTCCATTATTGCGTCGTCCTTTCTTTCGGTCGCCTAACTGTACCAGGTCTCTCTTTCTTCGTCACTCTTATGTTACTACCGTCCGCAAAAAACAGCGATGATTACATCCGGGAAACGCACATTTGCTTGTAAAGGAAAATACCACCGTGTCTTTACGGTCATGCAACTACACATACGACCACGTGCTCATAGCATCCTCTGTCAAGTATAACAATCAAGGTGGAAGCGCATCGCACGTTGTACGTTCGGTGAAAAAAAGCTTTTAAACAAGTTTATCGTCTATGTCCATCATCGTTTAACTATTCTTTGTTTTACACATGTTCTTGTACGTTACTAATTAGTTTATGTCTACGTATAATAGTATTAAGATATATGTATATATATGTATATATATATATATATATATATATATATATATATATATATACACACACTATATTAAGAATAGATTAAGATTTCCAATTAATTGTACGATGGAATTATTATTTAAACATTTTAAAAATAAGCAATATCGATCAGACAGCTTTTTATTAAGAGAGCTCGTTCAGGTTTGCGAATTTCTGATAGATAGGGAAAAGTGGCATTTACGGAAGTATTATTTTGCGAGAAATGACAATATTATCGTTGAGACAGTACCATTTGGTAATGAGACCGTGACAAAACTTTACATTTGTATATACGCTTTCTTCTTGATAATAATTATTTGTACTATATCATTAAAGTGACAATGAGTGAAGTGGATAATGAATACTTGGCCTCGTATAACAATCGATGTTGATTTGATTGGAATTTTTGAGATGATGCGGAACACTTGGCTAGTATGACAAATAGCCTACATTTGAAAGAAAGAACTGCGAGAATTGAATACACTGAATGGACAGTGTTAATCAAGTCTATTACTGTAATTGTTTCAAGTTTCAAATTGTTTTTCAAATGTAGCTCGTTACGGATCGTAAACTGTACGTACTGGATTAAAAGTATATCAAGTGCAACATTAATGAGTTTCTTGATATGTTCATTAGTCATAGTATATTGTTTTGCTTATATAAGCCTTACATTTGATAATTTCGAGCCTCAATAATCATTTAACAATGAAATCGGTGTACTTGTCTGATGTATGCCTGATATATGGTTCATGTATGTTTTCTTCATTATCGTGCATCAATATTTTAATAAAATGTATATTTTTTTAGGTCAAAAGCATCGCCCCAGTAAGCAATCTGCTTGCAGTATGATAATAGATTGGCAGTAGATTTGCTCATAAACAGATATTGCAATAGATCTGGTATCATCTGTATTCGCATTAAACTCGCGTTTTGCCGGAAAACCCTGCCGATATAATCTGCTGGCAAATTGCCAGCAGAAATCGAACAGAATCTGTCATTTCGTAAACATTTAAATGGAATATATTATTTAAATGGCAAATCTTGCTCAATTTTTGCAATCAGTTTGCTATTATATTCTGTTAGCAAAGTCTGTTATATTTCTACTGACATTCTATCGACAAAATTTGCAGTGAACGTTCAAAATCTGTTCTCTACAGATTTAGCTATCTGGGACAGTGTATTAAGTAACGAAGTAACTCTCTCTTACTCTTTCCAGTTTATTACTAAAACTTCACTTATCTTACCATAATAAAAGGTTTCAACTACATTGAAATTAAATTTTAACAATTATTGTTTCCTTTACTAAAATAAAATGCTTAATTTTAATTGTCAAGCATTTTATTTAAAAAATATTAAATGCAACAAGATGAGAAAATTACCCAAGTAATCTATACTAAAGCTATTATCTTATGTTAATATTGAACTTGCACAGTGTATGTAGTAACAATACCAAGAAATAACTGGCGTTGAAAATAAAGAAAACTCATTTCCGCATGACATTATTCTGTAACACGTAAAGTAAGTCATGCATGCAAATTGATGGATAAATCTACAACTGTTTCTATTTCTCGATACAGAGGTTTGCACTTATAATCATGTCTGGGTGGAGAATATCGTCTGTTTACCTGCATTCCACTCTTGATGCGTTGTTATTAACGACGATTGGCGCGGCGGAGTTTTAAGGTTCGTTTGACAAGCAGGTCAGAGGGATACTTACTTACGGGGCTGTACGACATTGTTTTGGTTGAGGGGTCTTTCCTTCCGTTGTGTAGCGTTAAACAGCGCGTGGATCAAGTACGGGCGCGTATACCAAGAATCTTAATGCGTTGGTAGGAGAGGCTAATGGGTGCACACTTATATAAGTCACAATGCAACCAGATTCTAACGAGTAGTCGGTAGGATTTATCGGACTGACCAGAGACTGAGAGCAGAGTGGAACTACAGACTAAAACGTAACGAAGGAGAAGCTGATCATTGTGCTAGAGACAGCTAGAAAATATCTGAAGAAGTAGAATCGACGAGTTAGCGTAAATCACGCAATCGCTTGATGATGGAAAAACGGCGTTTAATGATTTGGATCTTACATATCTTTCATCTCGCGATGTTCTGCAATTTAGTGACGGCTAAAAGTGAATTTACGAGTCTATTCGAACGGTGCAGAAACGAGAGGAACACCTTCGATTGCTTCAAACGACGTGCCTTGGAGATACTCGACTCGGCTATCCAAGATAATTCTGTGTATAAAATCAATGATTATATTTCAATTACTAAAGATCCAGCATCTATCGCCAAAAGTTACGACTCGATGACGTCTGAAAATGGCACGGAATTAAGTCTCGATCAGAAATTGGATAACAAGTTTCATCAGTATTTGACATCGAGAAGCGTGAAACTGACAATACCGGGCAACGCCTTTGAAGGTAACAGATTATATTATTGATAAATTGCGTTAGTAAAAATTTGTTTTATACACTTTTCAATTAAATCATTGCACTGTAAATTATAAAATATAATTATAATCTATAATACTTAATAATCGACGTTATTTCTTACAAATAAAGTACGATTTGTTGCAGTAAATATTTGACAAAAAAGGTTTTTTGAAAAGAGAAAGAATTTATTAACATTCAAATAAATATTTGCAATATTTGCAGGAAGAAAAAAGAAGAATAAGGGCTACGGATATGTAATAGTAGCAGGTGCCGTGTTAGCAGGTAAGTTTTCCTGTACATTAATATTAAACACTAATATTCTAAACATTAATATTCTAATTCATAGAAGAAATAACTTTAAAGTCAAAGTTGAGAAAAACATAATAAATAAGACGAGAAGTTCAATCAGCTTATTGTTAGTGAAGCTTCTTCAGGTTATGAACTACTAAACTATATTTTTGAACAACATTACTCTAACACAATAAATAAAATCTATTTTTTTACTGTGTAGACAATGATTTTTATTTTAACTGTTTCCTTATTTTGATATTTGAAATGAATAAAATATCTTCTAGCTGTAAATTTAATTAGTAGAAAAAAATCAATTCTTCTAATCTTGCTTATGGAAATAACTATTATTTGTTTAGGCATGATGGCGCAACTAGCTTATGGGAAAATTGCTTTCATCGCTGGTACGGCTTTGTTGACGGCGAAAATGGCCCTAGTTTTAAGCGCGATAATCGGCTTGAAAAAGCTTGCATCGAGCGGAGGAGGTCACGAAGTGATCTATGCGACTGCATCGGAACATCATGGAGGAGGTGGTGGTGGTGGTGGCGGATTTGGTGGTGGATACGGTGGCTGGCAACGAGCAATGGAAGTTGTTCCTCCAACCTGAATCATATTCGATTATCAAATTCAAAAGTTTTATGATTTAGTTACCGCATGTAATACATCTTCTTTGATGTATCCGATAATGAAAACATACTAACATATCAAAAATTTTTTTATTTAATTTATTTATGATTTAAATATTTAATTAATAAAAATAATTAATGTACATTACTTTCTTCTTTGACCCGAACAAACATGTTATTCCACAAAGAATAAATAATCCATAATATCATTGTTTGATAAACAACGTGTTTTAGATTTTAACTGTAGATTTTCCATTAGTTTACGAATTATATTTTTCATTAATATGTTGATTTATATTAATTGGAAAATGTAAAATCAAGATAGATATGATATCTTTGTTTCTACTGTTTGTATTTAAGAGAGAGATATTAAATATTTTTTATATAATTTATTACAATATTGTTATTTGATTTATATCTATTTCCATTATTTTATAAGATATGTTATAAGATATTTTATAAGATGTAAATACTAAAATAATTCCAACTTTAAAATATCACAAAATATAAATGTGTTTATTTAATAATTTTATGAACACTCTTGATATATAAATAATTGCATAAAAAATTAAAAGTATACATGAGAAATAAGTTAAAATTATGTATTTAAACTTTTTAAATAATTATATATAATATATTGTGTGTGTGTATTAGATTTTGTTACAATATATCTATATTTAAAGATTTACAAATAATTGCTATTGTATAATTTGGGTGTACAAGTAATTTTTCTATTACAAAATATTGCCTAAATTAAAGCTATTTTTTCATTATGGATATATATTTAAAGTATACAATTGGTAACTTTTGTTGTTGTCTTTTTCCAAAATATTAAACTCTGCTAAAGCACAGTAAGTCTTAATTAAGCTTATAAATAATTTAGTTTATAAATTATAGTAGTGTATAATATATATACACAGAATGATTCAAAAGGTTACTGCCAAACTTAAGAAGAGGGGTCAAAATAGAACAACTTTCGATTAGAAGCTTATGTTCTCCGAAGTAATCTTAAATCAGTACAGGTTTTTGAATGTATGAAATTCGGCTAATATACCAATGAAATAATCGTAATTTGCTACTTTTCCACTAGCTTTATTTTGTTTTTATTAAGGTTTTGTTAAGGAATACGCTAGCACAAACTGAATTTACAAAAGGTGTTCGAATTGGCGACCTCCACTTTCAATGCCATGCATTGCATCATCGAACAGAATTCTGGCGCACTCTTTCAAATATCTTAGATATTTCACATAATATTTAATAAAATCTTAATAGAAACGAAATAAAGCTAGCGGAAGAGCAAATTGCGATTATTTCATTGGTACATTATCCGAGTTCTAAATATTATATATATATAAGTGGCTTTATATAAATATAATTTATTTTATTTGCTGTGGTTGTCAATTTTTAAATACTTAAAATCTATTTCTATTAAAATATAAGTTGCCGTCGTTTTCGATATTCGTAAATATAATCATTACGGTCATCAGTATCATCACTACGATGATCGTAATCGACGCTTGAACTGTGGGTTTGTATATAGCTGGTATGTGGATGTTTCACTATTTCGTAAGAAACTTTTCCAGAATCTGAAAGAAAATTTTATTTATTAAATTATTTAATTTAATTTATATAGTCTGTTCTTATGTCATAAAATCCGTATCACTTTATAAAAACTAATCTTTCAAGTTTTATGATCAGAAAAATTTACAGAATGTATTTTTAAATTTGGAACAATTACAAAAATATATTGTAAAACGTACTGTTAAAACATACGTTAATAAATTCTGTTACAAAACAAAATATAATTTAATTTGTGCACTCTTTGCAATATTTATTTTCAGTATTCTTTTCCTATTTTTGACTGTAACCTTTCTGTTATTGAAAAACAAATATTTATACGCACTTTTTTAATCATAGAGACTAGAATTTTCAATTCAACAGAATTAAATAATATTTTTTATAATTTATGTAATTTACCTACTACGTACCTACCACGTACCATTCTTTTTTACAAGTGCGGCAATGGCAAGTGCTAAAGCTATTTTGGCTAGCAATATTGCCTTTCCTGCAAGAGCTGCAACGCCATGTAGTAATCCATAAATTAGCGCTGCTTTCAAAGCAGCTAACATGTAAACTATTACTCTACCGTATCCTTTCTTCTTTTTTTTCCGAGCAGAAACTGAAATTTAAAATAAATAAGTAAATTAATTTAGTACCTGCTATCTAGCTAGTTCAAATCGGGAATTAAATTAATCGAATCGATAATACTATTAAAAAATGGAGAAACTGACATTTATACGAACAAATATTATACATTAAATTATATCTCTTTTTTTTCCTTCATGCATATACATATATAATATCTGATCTAGAAGTATTATTTTTTAAAGGAATAATAACAAATGTAATAAATATAATAAACAAATCTAAAATATTCACAATTTGTTTTGATGTAATCATTAATTGAACTTAATTATTTCATGTCATACTTTCTTGCTTAATTGTTGGTTAAGAGATTTAAAATATCGACTATAGAGTTAAAAATTATAAACTTTCCTTTTCTTTTTTTTTCTATGTTAATAGTAGATAGCAAAAGTATTTGTGAATTATTTGAGAGATACTTCTGCACAAAGAAAAAAATGTTGCAAAATGCTTTTGTTTCATTTAGTATACTTATAATTATATATATATATATATATATATATATATATATATATATATATATA